GGCCCTGACCCCCGATAGGAAGCCCTGACCGCTGCTGCGGCCCTGACCCCCGATAGAAAGCCCTGACCCCGGATAGAAAGCCCTGACCCCTGATAGGAAGCCCTGACCCCTGCTGCGACCCTGACACCCAATAGAAAGCCCTGACCGCTGCTGCGGCCCTGACCCCCAATAGAAAGCCCTGACCCCTTCTGGGGCCCTGACCCCTGCTGGGGCCCTGACCCCTGCTGCGGCCCTGACTCCCGATAGAAAGCGCTGACCCCTGCTGCGGCCCTAACACCCAATAGAAAGCCCTGACCCCTGCTGGGGCCCTGACCCCTGCTGGGGCCCTGACCCCTGCTGCGGCCCTGACCCCCGATAGAAAGCCCTGACCCCTGCTGCAGCCCTGACCCCTGCTGGGGCCCTGACCTCCGATGGGGCCTTGACACCCAATAGAAAGCCCTGACCCCTGCTGCAGCCCTGACACCCAATAGAAAGCCCTGACCCCTGCTGCGGCCCTGACACCCAATAGAAAGCCCTGACGCCTGCAGCAGCCCTGACCCCCGATAGAAAGCCCTGACCCCAGATAGGAAGCCCGGACCCCTGCTGCGGCCCTGACACCCAATAGAAAGCCCTGACCCCTGCTGGGGCCCTGACCCACGATATGAAGCCCTGATCCCTGCTGCGGCCCTGACCCCCGATAGAAAGCCCTGACCGCTGCTGCGGCCCTGACCCCCAATAGAAAGCCCTGACCCCTGCTGGGGCCCTGACCCACGATAGGAAGCCCTGACCGCTGCTGCGGCCCTGACCCCCAATAGAAAGCCCTGACCCCTGCTGCAGCCCTGACCCCCGATAGGAAGCCCTGACCCCTGCTGCAGCCCTGACCCCCGATAGAAAGCCCTGACGCCTGCAGCAGCCCTGACCCCCGATAGAAAGCCCTGACCCCTGCTGCGGCCCTGACACCCAATAGAAAGCCCTGACGCCTGCAGCAGCCCTGACACCCGATAGAAAGCCCTGACTCCTGCTGCGGCCCTGACCCCCAATAGGAAGCCCTGATCCCTGCTGCGGCCCTGACACCCAATAGAAAGCCCTGACGCCTGCAGCAGCCCTGACCCCCGATAGAAAGCCCTGACCCCTGCTGCAGCCCTGACACCCAATAGAAAGCCCTGACCCCTGCTGCGGCCCTGACACCCAATAGAAAGCCCTGACGCCTGCAGCAGCCCTGACCCCAGATAGGAAGCCCGGACCCCTGCTGCGGCCCTGACACCCAATAGAAAGCCCTGACCCCTGCTGGGGCCCTGACCCACGATATGAAGCCCTGATCCCTGCTGCGGCCCTGACCCCCGATAGAAAGCCCTGACCCCTGCTGGGGCCCTGACCCACGATAGGAAGCCCTGACCGCTGCTGCGGCCCTGACCCCCAATAGAAAGCCCTGACCCCTGCTGGGGCCCTGACCCACGATAGGAAGCCCTGACCGCTGCTGCGGCCCTGACCCCCAATAGAAAGCCCTGACCCCTGCTGGGGCCCTGACCCACGATAGGAAGCCCTGACCGCTGCTGCGGCCCTGACCCCCAATAGAAAGCCCTGACCCCTGCTGCAGCCCTGACCCCCGATAGGAAGCCCTGACCCCTGCTGCAGCCCTGACCCCCGATAGAAAGCCCTGACCCCTGCTGCGGCCCTGACACCCGATAGAAAGCCCTGACTCCTGCTGCGGCCCTGACCCCCAATAGGAAGCCCTGATCCCTGCTGCGGCCCTGACCCCCGATAGGAAGCCCTGACCGCTGCTGCGGCCCTGATCCCCGATAGAAAGCCCTGAACCCTGCTGGGGCCCTGACCCCAGATAGGAAACCCTGACCCCTGATGGGGCCCTGACCCCCGATAGCAAGCCCTGACCCCCGATAGAAAGCCCTGACCCCTGCTGCGGCCCTGACCCCAGATAGGAAACCCTGACCCCTGATGGGGCCCTGACCCCCGATAGCAAGCCCTGACCCCCGATAGAAAGCCCTGACCCCTGCTGCGGCCCTGAACCCAGATAGGAAACCCTGACCCCTGATGGGGCCCTGACAGGATAATCAACTCATGCTAGCACTTCTCGTCTGAGGATCCATTGAAATGTTTCACTAATGAACTGAAGCATGCAGCATCAGCGCCATGATGCAACACGCTGATGATGAAGCTGTTCAAACTCACCTTGGCTGTGAAGGTTCTGATCCTGCGTCGGGTTTAATGCTCAGATCTCTGCATTAGAGCTGGACGTCTGAAGTTTACAGGTGCTGGTCATAAAATTAGAATATCATGAAAAAGTAGATTGATTTCAGTAATTCCATTTAAAAAGTGAAACTTGTATATTATATTCATACATTACATACAAACTCATATATTTCAGATGTTTATTTTGTTTAATTTTGATGATTACAAATGACAACAAATGAAAATCTCAAATTCAGCATATCGGAAAATTAGAATATTGTGAAAAGGTTCAAAATTGATGGCCCCTGGTGCCACACTCTAATCAGCTAATTAACTCAAACCACCTGCAAAAGCCTTTAAATGGTCTTTCAGTCTAGTTCTATAGGCTACACAATCATGGGGAAGACTGCTGACTTGACAGTTGTCCAAAAGACGACCATCGACACCTTGCACAAGGAGGGCAAGACACAAAAGGTCATCGCTAAAGAGGCTGGCTGTTCACAGAGCTCAGTGTCCAAGCACATTAATAGAGAGGCGAAGGGAAGGAAAAGATGTGGTCGAAAAAAGTGTACAAGCAAGAGAGATAACCGCACCCTGGAGAGGATTGTGAAACAAAACCCCTTCAAAAATGTGGGGGAGATTCACAAAGAGTGGACTGCAGCTGGAGTGAGTGCTTCAAGAACCACCACACACAGACGTATGAAAGACATGGGTTTCTGCTGTCGCATTCCTTGTGTCAAGCCACTCTTGAACCACAGACAGCGTCAGAAGCGTCTTGCCTGGGCTAAAGAGAAACAGGACTGGACTGCTGGTGAGTGGTCCAAAGTCATGTTCTCTGATGAAAGTAAATTTTGCATTTCCTTTGGAAATCAAGGTCCCAGAGTCTGGAGGAAAAGAAGAGAGGCACTTCATCCACGTTGCTTGAAGTCCAGTGTAAAGTTTCCACAGTCAGTGATGGTTTGGGGTGCCATGTCATCTGCTGGTGTTGGTCCATTGTGTTTTCTGAGGTCCAGGGTCAACGCAGCCACATACCAGGAAGTTTTAGAGCACTTCATGCTTCCTGCAGCTGACCAACTTTTTGGAGATGCAGATTTCATTTTCCAACAGGACTTGGCACCTGCACACAGTGCCAAAGCTACCAGTACCTGGTTGAAGGACCATGGTATCCCTGTTCTTAATTGGCCAGCAAACTCTCCTGACCTTAACCCCATAGAAAATCTATGGGGTATTGTGAAGAAGAAGATGCAATACACCAGACCCAACAATTCAGAAGAGCTAAAAGCCACTATTAGAGCAACCTGGGCTATCATAACACCTGAGCAGTGCCACAGACTGATCGACTCCATGCCACGCCGCATTGCTGCAGTAATACAGGCCAAAGGAGGCCCAACTAAATACTGAGTGCTGTACATGCTCATACTTTTCATGTTCATACTTTTCAGTTGGCCAACATTTCTATAAATCCTTTGTTTTTATTGGTCTTCAGTAATATTCTAATTTTCTGATATGATGAATTTGAGATTTTCATTTGTTGTCATTTGTAATCATCAAAATTAAACAAAATAAACATCTGAAATATATGAGTTTGTATGTAATGTATGAATATAATATACAAGTTTCACTTTTTAAATGGAATTACTGAAATCACTCTACTTTTTCATGATATTCTAATTTTATGACCAGCACCTGTACTGCTGTGGTTTCAACTTAATCCTTTTTGATGCTTTGCTGTTTTTCATGGATTTCATTTCATTAAAGCTGTAATTATCTCCACATTTTAAATGGAGCAAAACATCTGCTCTGTCATATGATGCTCTCAGGTTTCAAAGATGACGGCGGCGCCTGCTGGGGGGGGGGGAGCTCCCACCACCACTGACCACATGGCTGTCCAACTGTTGGAAGGCGATGCGGACTGAGCGCAGCTGATAATACCCCGCTGATGTCATGTGCCGTTCCTGGGCGCCGGGTTCATACTGGTTGATTAGGCGGCGTGTGGCTCAGCCTCTGATCAGCTGGCTCCGGTTACGGCGGCCCCTCAAAACAGGAACGACCTGTGACTTCTCATCTATTTCCCACACACAGACAGAAACACGTCTGGCACCCCAGGAGCTGGTCGTCCATCTTCTCAGGGAGACTTTATGAAGCACTTAGAGGTGGCAGCCTCTTCAGACCTGCTGTGATTTGTAGACTTTTCCTCCGTGCTGCAGAGCCAGAGCTGCCCTGGCACGTCAGCGCAGGGTTTGGATCGGGACTGGAAGGTGTTCGCAGGGGGAGGAGGGCATCTGGCAGAGCCGGGGATATAGATTATATCACTTTAGTAATGTGAAAATGTCTGGCCAATGAAAAAGAACAGCCCACGTATTGGAGGCGCAGAGAAACACTCTGCTGTCAACCTTCCTAAAGTATTTACAACCGATTTCACCTTCAAACATTTCAAAAGGAGGATCTGATCAGAGAACAAAACTAAACTTTAAGGCAAACAAAACCAAACTCAATCATGCTGATGGTGAAGCACGGTGGAGGCGACTTCATGCTGTGCAAAGCTTTTCTTCAGAAGACACGGCCAAGCTGCTCAGACCTAAACAGACCAGAGGTTCAGGTTTGAGCAGAGCAGCAGGAGGGGAGCTGGGATCACAGGAGGGCTTCAGGTCTGCAGCTGAAGGTTCTGCTCTCCGTCTCACCTGGCGGAGCTGCTGGGAACCTTCAGGTGATGCAGAGGGAGGTGCTTCTACAGAGAACGCCGTCAGTTCCTTAAAGCCTCCTACTTTCCCTTTCCTGCAGCTGTTCCCATTCTCCCCCGCTGGGAACGCAGAAACAGGAAAAACATCTAGGTATCTGGTTTCTATCTGTGGTTTTTATTTTCTCCCCTGAAGCACAGATGTTCCAGCATAGAGTCTCAAACAACACAACAAACGTTTAATGTTCACATCTCAGCAGGATGAACCCAGAGCGCAGCTTTAGGTGGAGGCAGCAGGTCCAGGATCCCTGATGCTGGTGAAGCTGAGGACGTCCTTCAGCAGGTCCGAGTATTTGATGTTCTTCAGAGCAGATCCATCAGCTTCTGGCCTGAGGTTCAGCTCAAACTGGAGGAAACAAGAAAAACGACTGAAACAAACGACTGAAACAAACGACTGAAACAAACGACTGAAACAGCAGGATGTTTGTTCTGAGGAGCTTCATAGGGTCGCCCATCACACTCACTAGAACTATAGAAAGTAGATCAGACAGCTGATCCAGACGCTGCTGCCTGCGTCCTCACTAGAACTATAGAAAGTAGATCAGACAGCTGATCCAGACGCTGCTGCCTGCGTCCTCACTAGAACTATAGAAAGTAGATCAGACAGCTGATCCAGACGCTGCTGCCTGCGTCCTCACTAGAACTATAGAAAGTAGATCAGACAGCTGATCCAGACGCTGCTGCCTGCGTCCTCACTAGAACTATAGAAAGTAGATCAGACAGCTGATCCAGTTCTGGTTAGAACTCCTGATTGATCTACTTCCTGCTTTATTTTCCTTCTATTTAATTCATTAGTGAACTTTGGATCCTCTTTAGACTGAACTCTCCTTAAGAAATAATCATTTTAGGCTCCTTTGTGTTTGGATTTGATTATTTAGAGAGAAAGTTTATTTTCGATTGATTGATTGATTGATTGATTGATTGATTGATTGATTGATTGATTGATTGATTGATTGATTGATTGATTGATTGATTGATTGATTGACTTCATAGATTTTTAGCTCAGAGCCGCTATGATCTGCATGGCGGCTCTGGTTTGATGGTCGGCTGCTTGGAGCATCTAAAGCTTCCTCACAGGACTGCTCTGTTTTTAGCTCCATGGAGAGGAAAACCATCCCCACAGCATGAGGCTGCCACCACCATGCTTCATCATGAGATAGGCTGTTTACTATGACAGGAGACTGGAGACATGAAGGACAGAGGAGGACAGAGGGGAAAAGACTGGAGACATGGAGGACAGACTCCTGGTTCCTTCCAGACATGCAGGTCTTCCTTTGTTGTCCTTTTAAATTGTTTCTGCTAACATGTGATTCCTTCCTCTCCTCCTTCCTCCCCTTCCTCTCCTTCCTTCCTTCCTCTCTTCCTCTCCTTCCTTCCTTCCTCTCATCCTCCCTTCCTCTCCTCCTTCCTTCCTTCCTCTCCTTCCTTCCTTCCTCTCATCCTCCCTTCCTCTCCTCCTTCCTTCCTCTCCTTCCTCCTCTCCTGCTCTCTCCTCGTTCTCCTCCTCACTCAGTCGTCTCCTTGGTCTTTTGGCTCCTGATGCTGTGACTCATTCCAGGCTCGGATGAAGCTGATTGATTTCCATTTAGCTTTGTGAGGAGCTGCCTTAGACTCCTGGAGGAGTTTTACTCCTCATCTTTACCTTCAGCGTGTCCTCGGGCCTCACTGGAGGCGCTGGGTGCTTCAGCCAGTCGATCCCAGCAATCAAGGCGTGGTAGTCGATCCCGTCTCCATCTGTGAACCTGCAGAGAGCAGGAGTGCGAATATTAGGAGGAAGGTTCCAGCTTTCCAGCAGATCCAGGTGAAGTTTTCCCATAATTAGGAAACTGGCTGAGACTGGTTTCCTCTGGGCCAAAAACTCCGGGCAGAGGAACAGAGTTTAGATTTCAAAGCGTGAGGAGAAGCGGCTCTTACTTGATGAGGAGGCCTTCCCTCAGGCTCTCTGGGAGGGGAAGATGGACGGCCTTACAGATGGTCCTCACCTCCTTGGCGGACAGACGGCCTCCTCTACGTGAAAACAGACTCATCTGATCAGATCTGCAGAGATCCAGTAAGAATCTGGCATAATACAGGATGATTTGATGGAAGAACGCAGACTTCCTGTTTAGGAGAAGGCAGACAGGAAACGGGCAGAAAGAGAAAGGTCTGATGGTGCGCCCCGTAGATGGGAGTGTCCACCTGGCAGCGGCGTGAGGAATATTCTGGGAATGTCAGAACCTCTCATCCGGCCATGAGATGGAATCTGCTGGACCAGAACTACGGTCCAAGAGAACAAAGGCCACATCTGGAGCTGCGTGAACGTTTATATTGGTTCTGCATAAACACAGCGCATACAGAACGAAATAGAGCAACTTTCACACAGTAAAGGAACATTTCCATTCCTTCAAGTTCAGCAGCGATCAAATGTAAACAGAGAGGGAGAAAAAACCTGGAGGGAAAAAATCATTGATCTGGAAGTTTAGATCATTAATATCTGTGGTGCAGATCTGCTGTATGTTGGTTTGATGTCATCAGTGTGATGCAGAGTCACATGATCTACATTCATCAGTGTGATGCAGAGTCACATGATCAACATTCATCAGTGTGATGCAGAGTCACATGATCTACATTCATCAGTGTGATGCAGAGTCACATGATCAACATTCATCAGTGTGATGCAGAGTCACATGATCAACATTCATCAGTGTGATGCAGAGTCACATGATCTACATTCATCAGTGTGATGCAGAGTCACATGATCAACATTCATCAGTGTGATGCAGAGTCACATGATCAACATTCATCAGTGTGATGCAGAGTCACATGATCAACATTCATCAGTGTGATGCAGAGTCACATGATCAACATTCATCAGTGTGATGCAGAGTCACATGATCAACATTCATCAGTGTGATGCAGAGTCACATGATCTACATTCATCAGTGTGATGCAGAGTCACATGATCAACATTCATCAGTGTGATGCAGAGTCACATGATCACATTCATCAGTGTGATGCAGAGTCACATGATCAACATTCATCAGTGTGATGCAGAGTCACATGATCAACATTCATCAGTGTGATGCAGAGTCACATGATCTACATTCATCAGTGTGATGCAGAGTCACATGATCAACATTCATCAGTGTGATGCAGAGTCACATGATCAACATTCATCAGTGTGATGCAGAGTCACATGATCACATTCATCAGTGTGATGCAGAGTCACATGATCAGCGTTCATCAGTGTGATGCAGAGTCACATGATCTACATTCATCAGTGTGATGCAGAGTCAAATGATCAACATTCATCAGTGTGATGCAGAGTCACATGATCAACATTCATCAGTGTGATGCAGTCACATGATCAGCGTTCATCAGTGTGATGCAGAGTCACATGATCAGCGTTCATCAGTGTGATGCAGAGTCACATGATCAGCGTTCATCAGTGTGATGCAGAGTCACATGATCAGCATTCATCAGTGTGATGCAGAGTCACATGATCAACATTCATCATTGTGATGCAGTCACATGATCAGCGTTCATCAGTGTGATGCAGAGTCACATGATCAACATTCATCAGTGTGATGCAGAGTCACATGATCAACATGCATCAGTGTGATGCAGTCACATGATCAGCGTTCATCAGTGTGATGCAGAGTCACATGATCAACATTCATCAGTGTGATGCAGTCACATGATCAGCGTTCATCAGTGTGATGCAGTCACATGATCAGCATTCATCAGTGTGATGCAGAGTCACATGATCAACATTCATCAGTGTGATGCAGTCACATGATCAGCGTTCATCAGTGTGATGCAGAGTCACATGATCAACATTCATCAGTGTGATGCAGAGTCACATGATCAACATGCATCAGTGTGATGCAGTCACATGATCAGCGTTCATCAGTGTGATGCAGAGTCACATGATCAGCGTTCATCAGTGTGATGCAGTCACATGATCTACATTCATCAGTGTGATGCAGAGTCACATGATCAACATTCATCAGTGTGATGCAGAGTCACATGATCAGCGTTCATCAGTGTGATGCAGAGTCACATGATCAGCGTTCATCAGTGTGATGCAGAGTCACATGATCAGCGTTCATCAGTGTGATGCAGAGTCACATGATCAACATTCATCAGTGTGATGCAGAGTCACATGATCAACATTCATCAGTGTGATGCAGTCACATGATCAGCGTTCATCAGTGTGATGCAGAGTCACATGATCAACATTCATCAGTGTGATGCAGAGTCACATGATCAACATGCATCAGTGTGATGCAGTCACATGATCAGCGTTCATCAGTGTGATGCAGAGTCACATGATCAGCGTTCATCAGTGTGATGCAGTCACATGGTCTACATTCATCAGTGTGATGCAGAGTCACATGATCTACATTCATCAGCGTGATGCAGAGTCACATGATCAACATTCATCAGTGTGATACAGTCACATGATCAGCGTTCATCAGTGTGATGCAGAGTCACATGATCAACATTCATCAGTGTGATGCAGAGTCACATGATCTACATTCATTAGTGTGATGCAGAGTCACATGATCTACATTCATCAGTGTGATGCAGAGTCACATGATCTACATTCATCAGTGTGATGCAGAGTCACATGATCAACATTCATCAGTGTGATGCAGAGTCACATGATCAGCGTTCATCAGTGTGATGCAGAGTCACATGATCTACATTCATTAGTGTGATGCAGAGTCACATGATCTACATTCATCAGTGTGATGCAGAGTCACATGATCTACATTCATCAGTGTGATGCAGAGTCACATGATCAACATTCATCAGTGTGATGCAGAGTCACATGATCAGCGTTCATCAGTGTGATGCAGAGTCACATGATCTACATTCATCAGTGTGATGCAGAGTCACATGATCTACATTCATCAGTGTGATGCAGAGTCACATGATCAACATTCATCAGTGTGATGCAGAGTCACATGATCAACATTCATCAGTGTGATGCAGAGTCACATGATCTACATTCATCAGTGTGATGCAGAGTCACATGAACAACATTCATCAGTGTGATGCAGAGTCACATGATCTACATTCATCAGTGTGATGCAGAGTCACATGATCAACATTCATCAGTGTGATGCAGAGTCACATGATCAACATTCATCAGTGTGATGCAGAGTCACATGATCAACATTCATCAGTGTGATGCAGAGTCACATGATCAACATTCATCAGTGTGATGCAGAGTCACATGATCACATTCATCAGTGTGATGCAGAGTCACATGATCAACATTCATCAGTGTGATGCAGAGTCACATGATCACATTCATCAGTGTGATGCAGAGTCACATGATCAACATTCATCAGTGTGATGCAGAGTCACATGATCACATTCATCAGTGTGATGCAGAGTCACATGATCAACATTCATCAGTGTGATGCAGAGTCACATGATCAACATTCATCAGTGTGATGCAGAGTCACATGATCAACATTCATCAGTGTGATGCAGAGTCACATGATCAACATTCATCAGTGTGATGCAGAGTCACATGATCACATTCATCAGTGTGATGCAGAGTCACATGATCAACATTCATCAGTGTGATGCAGAGTCACATGATCTACATTCATCAGTGTGATGCAGAGTCACATGATCAACATTCATCAGTGTGATGCAGAGTCACATGATCAACATTCATCAGTGTGATGCAGAGTCACATGATCAACATTCATCAGTGTGATGCAGAGTCACATGATCAACATTCATCAGTGTGATGCAGAGTCACATGATCAACATTCATCAGTGTGATGCAGAGTCACATGATCAACATTCATCAGTGTGATGCAGAGTCACATGATCACATTCATCAGTGTGATGCAGAGTCACATGATCAACATTCATCAGTGTGATGCAGAGTCACATGATCAACATTCATCAGTGTGATGCAGAGTCACATGATCAACATTCATCAGTGTGATGCAGAGTCACATGATCAACATTCATCAGTGTGATGCAGAGTCACATGATCACATTCATCAGTGTGATGCAGAGTCACATGATCAACATTCATCAGTGTGATGCAGAGTCACATGATCAACATTCATCAGTGTGATGCAGAGTCACATGATCTACATTCATCAGTGTGATGCAGAGTCACATGATCAACATTCATCAGTGTGATGCAGAGTCACATGATCTACATTCATCAGTGTGATGCAGAGTCACATGATCAGCGTTCATCAGTGTGATGCAGAGTCACATGATCTACATTCATCAGTGTGATGCAGAGTCAAATGATCAACATTCATCAGTGTGATGCAGAGTCACATGATCAACATTCATCAGTGTGATGCAGTCACATGATCAGCGTTCATCAGTGTGATACAGAGTCACATGATCAGCGTTCATCAGTGTGATGCAGAGTCACATGATCAGCGTTCATCAGTGTGATGCAGAGTCACATGATCAGCGTTCATCAGTGTGATGCAGAGTCACATGATCAGCGTTCATCAGTGTGATGCAGAGTCACATGATCAGCGTTCATCAGTGTGATGCAGAGTCACATGATCAACATTCATCAGTGTGATGCAGAGTCACATGATCAACATTCATCAGTGTGATGCAGTCACATGATCAGCGTTCATCAGTGTGATGCAGAGTCACATGATCAACATTCATCAGTGTGATGCAGAGTCACATGATCAACATGCATCAGTGTGATGCAGTCACATGATCAGCGTTCATCAGTGTGATGCAGAGTCACATGATCAGCGTTCATCAGTGTGATGCAGTCACATGATCTACATTCATCAGTGTGATGCAGAGTCACATGATCAGCGTTCATCAGTGTGATGCAGAGTCACATGATCAGCGTTCATCAGTGTGATGCAGAGTCACATGATCAGCGTTCATCAGTGTGATGCAGAGTCACATGATCAGCGTTCATCAGTGTGATGCAGAGTCACATGATCAACATTCATCAGTGTGATGCAGAGTCACATGATCAACATTCATCAGTGTGATGCAGTCACATGATCAGCGTTCATCAGTGTGATGCAGAGTCACATGATCAACATTCATCAGTGTGATGCAGAGTCACATGATCAACATGCATCAGTGTGATGCAGTCACATGATCAGCGTTCATCAGTGTGATGCAGAGTCACATGATCAGCGTTCATCAGTGTGATGCAGTCACATGGTCTACATTCATCAGTGTGATGCAGAGTCACATGATCTACATTCATCAGTGTGATGCAGAGTCACATGATCAACATTCATCAGTGTGATGCAGAGTCACATGATCAACATTCATCAGTGTGATGCAGAGTCACATGATCAACATTCATCAGTGTGATGCAGAGTCACATGATCTACATTCATCAGTGTGATGCAGAGTCACATGATCAACATTCATCAGTGTGATGCAGAGTCACATGATCAGCGTTCATCAGTGTGATGCAGAGTCACATGATCAACATTCATCAGTGTGATGCAGAGTCACATGATCAACATTCATCAGTGTGATGCAGTCAAATGATCAACATTCATCAGTGTGATGCAGAGTCACATGATCAACATTCATCAGTGTGATGCAGAGTCACATGAACAACATTCATCAGTGTGATGCAGAGTCACATGATCTACATTCATCAGTGTGATGCAGAGTCACATGATCAACATTCATCAGTGTGATGCAGAGTCACATGATCAACATTCATCAATGTGATGCAGAGTCACATGATCAACATTCATCAGTGTGATGCAGAGTCACATGATCAACATTCATCAGTGTGATGCAGAGTCACATGATCACATTCATCAGTGTGATGCAGAGTCACATGATCAACATTCATCAGTGTGATGCAGAGTCACATGATCACATTCATCAGTGTGATGCAGAGTCACATGATCAACATTCATCAGTGTGATGCAGAGTCACATGATCACATTCATCAGTGTGATGCAGAGTCACATGATCAACATTCATCAGTGTGATGCAGAGTCACATGATCAACATTCATCAGTGTGATGCAGAGTCACATGATCAACATTCATCAGTGTGATGCAGAGTCACATGATCAACATTCATCAGTGTGATGCAGAGTCACATGATCAACATTCATCAGTGTGATGCAGAGTCACATGATCAACATTCATCAGTGTGATGCAGAGTCACATGATCACATTCATCAGTGTGATGCAGAGTCACATGATCAACATTCATCAGTGTGATGCAGAGTCACATGATCTACATTCATCAGTGTGATGCAGAGTCACATGATCAACATTCATCAGTGTGATGCAGAGTCACATGATCAACATTCATCAGTGTGATGCAGAGTCACATGATCAACATTCATCAGTGTGATCTACATTCATCAGTGTGATGCAGAGTCACATGATCTACATTCATCAGTGTGATGCAGAGTCACATGATCAACATTCATCAGTGTGATGCAGAGTCACATGATCAACATTCATCAGTGTGATGCAGAGTCACATGATCACATTCATCAGTGTGATGCAGAGTCACATGATCAACATTCATCAGTGTGATGCAGAGTCACATGATCAACATTCATCAGTGTGATGCAGAGTCACATGATCAACATTCATCAGTGTGATGCAGAGTCACATGATCAACATTCATCAGTGTGATGCAGAGTCACATGATCTACATTCATCAGTGTGATGCAGAGTCACATGATCAACATTCATCAGTGTGATGCAGAGTCACATGATCAACATTCATCAGTGTGATGCAGAGTCACATGATCAACATTCATCAGTGTGATGCAGAGTCACATGATCAACATTCATCAGTGTGATGCAGAGTCACATGATCAACATTCATCAGTGTGATGCAGAGTCACATGATCAACATTCATCAGTGTGATGCAGAGTCACATGATCAACATTCATCAGTGTGATGCAGAGTCACATGATCACATTCATCAGTGTGATGCAGAGTCACATGATCAACATTCATCAGTGTGATGCAGAGTCACATGATCAACATTCATCAGTGTGATGCAGAGTCACATGATCACATTCATCAGTGTGATGCAGAGTCACATGATCAACATTCATCAGTGTGATGCAGAGTCACATGATCAACATTCATCAGTGTGATGCAGAGTCACATGATCTACATTCATCAGTGTGATGCAGAGTCACATGATCACATTCATCAGTGTGATGCAGAGTCACATGATCAACATTCATCAGTGTGATGCAGAGTCACATGATCAACATTCATCAGTGTGATGCAGAGTCACATGAACAACATTCATCAGTGTGATGCAGAGTCACATGATCTACATTCATCAGTGTGATGCAGAGTCACATGATCTACATTCATCAGTGTGATGCAGAGTCACATGATCAACATTCATCAGTGTGATGCAGAGTCACATGATCAACATTCATCAGTGTGATGCAGAGTCACATGATCAACATTCATCAGTGTGATGCAGAGTCACATGATCAACATTCATCAGTGTGATGCAGAGTCACATGATCTACATTCATCAGTGTGATGCAGAGTCACATGATCAACATTCATCAGTGTGATGCAGAGTCACATGATCAACATTCATCAGTGTGATGCAGAGTCACATGATCACATTCATCAGTGTGATGCAGAGTCACATGATCAACATTCATCAGTGTGATGCAGAGTCACATGATCAACATTCATCAGTGTGATGCAGAGTCACATGATCAACATTCATCAGTGTGATGCAGAGTCACATGATCACATTCATCAGTGTGATGCAGAGTCACATGATCAACATTCATCAGTGTGATGCAGAGTCACATGATCAACATTCATCAGTGTGATGCAGAGTCACATGATCACATTCATCAGTGTGATGCAGAGTCACATGATCAACATTCATCAGTGTGATGCAGAGTCACATGATCAACATTCATCAGTGTGATGCAGAGTCACATGATCAACATTCATCAGTGTGATGCAGAGTCACATGATCTACATTCATCAGTGTGATGCAGAGTCACATGATCACATTCATCAGTGTGATGCAGAGTCACATGATCAACATTCATCAGTGTGATGCAGAGTCACATGATCAACATTCATCAGTGTGATGCAGAGTCACATGAACAACATTCATCAGTGTGATGCAGAGTCACATGATCTACATTCATCAGTGTGATGCAGAGTCACATGATCTACATTCATCAGTGTGATGCAGAGTCACATGATCTACATTCATCAGTGTGATGCAGAGTCACATGATCACATTCATCAGTGTGATGCAGAGTCACATGATCAGCGTTCATCAGTGTGATGCAGAGTCACATGATCACATTCATCAGTGTGATGCAGAGTCACATGATCTACATTCATCATTGTGATGCAGAGTCACATGATCTACATTCATCAGTGTGATGCAGAGTCACATGATCAGCGTTCATCAGTGTGATGCAGAGTCACATGATCAGCGTTCATCAGTGTGATGCAGTCACATGATCAACATTCATCAGTGTGATGCAGAGTCACATGATCAGCGTTCATCAGTGTGATGCAGAGTCACATGATCAGCGTTCATCAGTGTGATGCAGTCACATGATCAACATTCATCAGTGTGATGCAGAGTCACATGATCAACATTCATCAGTGTGATGCAGAGTCACATGATCAGCGTTCATCAGTGTGATGCAGTCACATGATCAACATTCATCAGTGTGATGCAGAGTCACATGATCAGCGTTCATCAGTGTGATGCAGAGTCACATGATCACATTCATCAGTGTGATGCAGAGTCACATGATCTACATTCATCATTGTGATGCAGAGTCACATGATCTACATTCATCAGTGTGATGCAGAGTCACATGATCTACATTCATCAGTGTGATGCAGAGTCACATGATCAACATTCATCAGTGTGATGCAGAGTCACATGATCTACATTCATCAGTGTGATGCAGAGTCACATGATCTACATTCATCAGTGTGATGCAGAGTCACATGATCAACATTCATCAGTGTGATGCAGAGTCACATGATCAACATTCATCAGTGTGATGCAGAGTCACATGATCAACATTCATCAGTGTGATGGCGGTGGGGAAGAAGCTGCTGCAGAACCTGCTTGTCCTGCATTGAATGCTGTGAGCTGAATGCATGTAGAAATAGATGATTCTAGATAAACAATCATGAAACATAAAGATTTATCACAACTCAATACTATCAGCTTTTTAATATTATCAGCGTTCTGATGGAATTTTAGCCAAATGATTTTTATCAAAAACATAATTAATGTGAACAAATAAGGAATAGTTGCATTAACCATACATGGAAACTAGTTCTATGGGGCCCCCAGGAACTTGGGGCCCTAGGCAGCTGCCTGGTATTTCCTGATGGTAAATCCCCCTCTGCTCAGAAGAATTTACAGACATCGACTGATGCTGTGAATAAAACAGAGCTGATCAAACTTAAAGCTCCTGTAGGTAATTAGCCAGAGGAAAACAGGAATGCTGCCCTGGAAGGAATCCACTCCTAAAGTGTGACTTCCATCTGGAGCGCCACTGGAGCTGATGGCGGCTTCAGCTTTTCTACCTGGTGTGAATCTTACTTCTGCCTGTCGTGGTACATGAAGAGGTCCGCCAGCAGAGGGAAGTCCTGGAACGGTTTCACCCTCAGGAAGTGCTGCGCCGCAGCCAGCATGAAGCCCACGTCCGCCTCAGGCTCCTGGCGCTCAGAGAAGCGCCGCGCCAGGACCAGAACCTCGTGCTCCGACAGCCCGCAGTCCATCATCAAGCCTCTGTGACGACACAAAAACAGAGAAGAAGCAGGCGTGACTAGATAAGAAGCAGTCCTCCATCTTTATCAGCTGCTCTTCAGACTGGGAGCTTTAATAGAAACAGCCGTGGTTTCAGGTTACGATCCGTGCATCCGGCCAGGCTTCATGGACCTGGCCTCGCGTGACACGGTGGAACAGGAAGCATGGCGTGCAGCATCATTAGGAGCGCCTCTAACTGGAACCAAAGAGGCGAGCCAGATTACTGAAAACATCTACAAAGCACCCAACACCCAGCAGAATGGAGGCGGCCTGCTCTCTGCCAGCGGCTGGTCCCCAAAGGGGGGCCAGACTATACCATGAAATAAATAGACCTACAGGTTAGTATTTAATATCATTAAATATAATTCATTCAATTAAATGTTACTTAAACAATAAATCCAACTTATTGACTTTCTGTGTATAAATGAGTATTTCTATGTGTTTTAGGAGGAACGCTAAAATCTCCACTTCTGTTGGATTTAAAGACTGAACTTAACTCATTCACCCCCCACCCCCTACATGAGGAGGTGAATGGATGAATGTCAGCCACACCTCCCTATTTAGGGAGGCGGTCAGGAAGCTGCCAACAGGCTGTCAGGAAGCTACCAAAAGGCGGACAGGAAGCTGCTATTAGGTGGTCAGGAAGCTGCCAACAGGTGGTCAGGAAGCTGCAAAGAGGTGGACAGGAAGCTGCCAAAAGGCTGTCAGGAAGCTTCCAGCAGGTGGTCAGGAAGCTGCCAACAGGTGGTCAGGAAGCTGCCAACAGGTGGTCAGGAAGCTGCAAAGAGGTGGTCAGGAAGCTGCAAAGAGGTGGTCAGGAAGCTGCAAAGAGGTGGTCAGGAAGCTGCAAAGAGGCGGACAGGAAGCTGCCAACAGGTGGTCAGGAAGCTGCAAAGAGGTGGACAGGAAGCTGCCAACAGGTGGTCAGGAAGCTGCCAACAGGTGGTCAGGAAGCTGCCAACAGGTGGTCAGGAAGCTGCAAAGAGGGGGACAGGAAGCTGCAAAGAGGCGGACAGGAAGCTGCCAACAGGTGGTCAGGAAGCTGCAAAGAGGTGGACAGGAAGCTGCCAACAGGTGGTCAGGAAGCTGCCAACAGGTGGTCAGGAAGCTGCCAACAGGTGGTCAGGAAGCTGCCAACAGGTGGTCAGGAAGCTGCCAACAGGTGGTCAGGAAGCTGCAAAGAGGGGGACAGGAAGCTGCAAAGAGGTGGTCAGGAAGCTGCCGACAGGCTGTCAGAAAGCTGCCAACAGGTGGTCAGGAAGCTGCCAACAGGTGGTCAGGAAGCTGCAAAGAGGTGGTCAGGAAGCTGCCAACAGGTGGTCAGGAAGCTGCAAAGAGGTGGACAGGAAGCTGCCAACAGGCGGTCAGGAAGCTGCCAACAGGTGGTCAGGAAGCTGCAAAGAGGTGGTCAGGAAGCTGCCAACAGGTGGTCAGGAAGCTGCAAAGAGGTGGACAGGAAGCTGCCAACAGGCTGTCAGAAAGCTGCCAACAGGTGGTCAGGAAGCTGCCAACAGGTGGTCAGGAAGCTGCAAAGAGGTGGTCAGGAAGCTGCCAACAGGTGGTCAGGAAGCTGCAAAGAGGTGGACAGGAAGCTGCCAACAGGTGGACAGGAAGCTGCCGACAGGTGGTCAGGAAGCTGCAAAGAGGTGGTCAGGAAGCTGCCAACAGGTGGTCAGGAAGCTGCAAAGAGGTGGACAGGAAGCTGCCAACAGGTGGACAGGAAGCCGCCAGCAGGCAGAGGAGTCATTATTCTCGTCTAGATTAAGCTGAAAGGGTTAAACAGCGCTGGAGGAGACGTCCCAGGTGTTGCTGTACCTGAAGGACTCATAGGGGACGAGGCCGGTGTTGGTGGGGTCGCTGAGGGCCAGAAACTCCCTGATCCGGCTGTGTTTGTCCTCTGGAAAGGAGCGCACTTTGCTGAGGATGATGTCTGCATTGGCTCTGGGAAACTGTGGATAAACACCAAGATGGCAGCATTTAGCGGCTGTGCAGCAAAGGGAGGCCTCCTGGGTGGGACGCACCGTGCCTACCTGCTGCTCATGCTGCTCCATGTAGCTGAGGGTGTGTTCGTCAGCATCCAGAAGCTGGAAGGTCACCCCTTTCAGGCAGACGGAGGCTCCGACGTACAGATCCTGGGCTGTGAGGTACTGGAAGGGCTCGCTCTTAAACAGCTCCTGGCCCGGTTTCAGAACCCGCCGACGCTCCAGAAACTTTCCTCCCAGTACACCTAGAGGACGACCAACGACATTTCAGAACGCTGTTCCATGGATTATTAGCCTGCCGCTAACGTTTCAATCCTGTCTGATATGAACGGAACCTCTTTCTAAAGCCCTAGCATTCATCAACACACACTTTATTTATTTCTATAGACCCAATTCACTTCATGTCACCTAAGGTTACTACATAGATCCAGATCAATCAGATCAGCAATCCTTTAAACTGAGCATGTGGCGACAGTGGAGAAGAAAAACAGGAGGAAACATGCATAGAGGCGGAGGTGGAGCCAACAATCATTTCCATGACAGGTTTCTGTTCTGTTCTGCTGAGGCCCACTGGAGGCTCAGAACGGAAGGAACAAACATCCATGTTTCAGGAAACATCCACCATCGATTGTGTTGAAAGGAAACGAACAATAAAACGATGAAAGATGCTCAGAGTTTCAGTCCTGAAACCAGCATTTCTACCTGAGTTCTTCTGTGGCTTTTCAAACACGCTGATGGAGTCATCAGAGAGGTAGAAGGTGATGATGAACCTCCTCTCCGTGTCCACAGGGTCCGTGGTCACCATCTTGGCAAGGAAATTCAGCAGGTATCTGCTCAGGCCACATCTATGGTGACACAGAAACAGCTGAGCTAACAGGGGGGTTGGGGGAAGCGTGGAGCGTGGAAGGAAACAAACTAAATCTGAAAAGTGCAGCGTGCCTTTTATTTCAAAGCCTTTAACTCCGACTCTCCTGAAATTAAAATTTTGGAAACGTCCAGCTGGTTAAAAAAAAACCACAAACATGGAATCAGATCACGGCTTTCAACGGCCTAGTCAAAGTCCAGGCTTAGAATAACAGGACATTTAGGGTGAAGCTCATCCTGAGACACGGCAGTGGCAGCATTACGCTCTCAGGGCTTCATTAATGTGAGCAGAAGCTGATAGTTGGATGAAGATCCTGGAGGAGTCGGATAAATCCAGAAAGGCGACAGTTAAAACCGAGCAGGAGACTTTCTGTTCCAGAAACATCTCCGTCGGCGGAGGAAGACCTTTAGCTTTCCACACTTTTCAGATTTCAGTTGGAAATAGAAATATTTGTCTGTCTGCCATTAGGAAGCCGTTAAGCTGTGGTGATCGGGGGTGTGAATACGTTCACTCTAACCGTCTCGTTTCTCTGCTGCTTGGTGAACCATTCTAACCTTTCTTCTTCCATGAACTTCTTCTTCCGGGGCCGTTGGGGCAGCAGGCCCTGGCAGGAGTTCAGGGAATCCTCCTCGGAGCCGAACCCATTGTAGGGGGGCACCGTCTGGGCTGGTTTGGGGGGCGGAGGGTCCTTGTACTGGAGGGGGGAGAAATCCTCTGAGAGAGAAAAGAGAAAACACTTGAAAGAAGGAAGGAAGGAACCCTGGAGGAGCGCTGAAACGACCCAGAGGGAATCAGGTAATCCGTCCCTGATCTGACCTCTGACCTCTTTCAGTCAGACAGGGCCCTCAATCACTGGGGGGGGGGGCTGCGATTATTTAACTGCTGTGACTAAAGGAGCCGCAGAGACGTCCAGGGAAGGAAACCTCTCCTGGACGGCGCTGGACAGAAGAGCCTGAGGATCCAGTTTCTGGAGGACAGAGGTGCTGAACTCTGGTTCCAACATGTTCTGACCCTCGAACAACAGACACACAACACAAAACATATGGTCCCCCCCCCCCCCCCCCCCCCAGACATGGCGTGAGAGGCTGCTCTCAGGAAACAGACAGATGTGGACCGCAGCAGCTCCTGCAGAACCTGGGACTGACTGCCCCCAGGTGGTGAGGAGCAGTACTGCAGCAGGAAGCAGCAGGCTGTAGTTCTGACCTACCTATGCCATATTTGGAGCGGTAGTAGTCCTTGGTGAATTCATCACAGTCAGTAATCACCACTCGTCTCCCCCAGATGTTCACTTCTGCTCCTATAGTCAGGTCCGAGTCTCTGTAGAACTCCCCGCTGACTAATGCTGCCTGCAGGGGAGGAGACAGAGGAGATGGGCAGGAAGGATGGAGATCATCGATGTTTCAGAGGCGCCTCCTCAGGTTCTCTACAGCTTCTATTCTGACTGAACACTGATCTGCTCTAAGACCAGCTGACCCTCAGAGAGTCATCCTACAGTCAGCCCCCCCCCCCACATTAGGAGTTTGGTTTGGACCTGGAGTCAGGGGCGGATGTAGGAAATGTGGGGCCCTAGGCAAAGACAGGCAGGGGGCCCTCTGAACAGCCCCATTCTCCAGATGTAGAAATGTTAATAGAATAGACATCCATTATCTGTTCTAGGTTGTGTCCCTCTCTTCTTGTCCCTTTTCTTCTTGTTTTCCTCTCTATGTTTTGTACTCAGCTGACTTTTCATGCTGTCTCTAAAGGAATGAAAGATTTTTTCCAAGCACTAAGCTCACTTAGCTGATTGCTCCTTCCTGTGTTTCCAAAAAGGCCAAAGTAAATAACCCAGTCCTTCTTTTCACTGTAGACAAGCCATGATCTGCTTATCTGTTCTCCATTTTTCATTCGGATGAAATAATAGCTGCATGAATCATGACAGCAGACAAGAGAGGGGTTACCAATCTACTCGCTCTGGAGAGCAGAGTTCGCTGCTTTTAGATGTTGTCTCCAAAGTCTCCAGTAGCAGATTTGGTGCTAGGAGCTTTTTAGAAAGGGGGGTGAACGCAGTCTATGCTGCATTTCTCTGATAGGTGTCTACAGCTGGTACAGCTCTCATGTTACTGCAGGTGTCTGGTTCCCCTGTGCTCAGACTGGACCTACATGATGGCCGCCCAGCATGAAGCGCTCTACCTGTGTCATGGGGGCCAACGGGTTGAGCACAGAGGGATCAGTGGCTTCTCCTGGGAGCTTCATTCGAACCGGAGGGCGCTGTGGAGAAAACAGAGCAACGTTTTAGACACAACAGAGGAAGGAGAAGGAAGCAGATTCCCCATTGACCCGCTAAGACCGACCCTGGCTCAAAGGCACTGAGGCAGCCCAGACCCACACATACGGCTGCCAGTCTCCAGGTGCTCTAGATAGAACCTGTCCAGCTCTAAACGCAGGATAAACACGCATTGGGTCTGGGAAGGATAAAGAAGCTGTAGGGAAGGAGGAGCAGCTGAGGGACGAAGGGCAGAGCAAAGGAGGTGACCAACTTCTTCTGGACGCTCCATCATGGTCCTGCTGTCTCCTGCTGTCATTTGGCTTCAACATCACAACCTGTTCAATCTAGTTTCATCCATCTATCATTTTGAAACCTATTTGGTATCTAGAGAACAGGAAAGGTTAGTCTGTTAGAGACTCCTCACCTTTGGCAGTTTGCTGCGACTTAAGAATTTGGGGACATGTTGTCTTCCTGAGTTTGGAACCACCTGGAAGACCTCTATGGTGTCATCAGCCAGGTAGTAGAGAAGGATCAGCTCCTGTTGGTCTCCAAACACTGTGTCGTCCCAGAAGCAGCGGAAGCGAAGGATTTTCCCGTCGTTCTTGAGGAACTTCTGGAACTGGTCCCGGTTTTGCCTGAGAGGCTTCATGCTGTCCTCAGACTTAAAGAGGGACACAAATAAGACATCAGAGCAGGAAGTGAAATGTTCCTGAAATCCACTTTATTTCCTCAGAGTGTGAGACAGGAAGTGGGGCCTGAATGTTCGTCTCCTGTTAGATCTGCCCTGATGGGGTCTGAATGAACCTCGGCTGAGAGATTAAAAACTTTTCTACATATTTACCGCCTTAAATAACCCGGTTTAATGACCGTACTCGTACAGTCCTGTAAAAACATTTCAGCCATTTAAAAAATGAAGTTCTTTCAAAGTAAAATATAGTTTGTTTTTACTGGTGGAAGAGAAAAGGATTGAACATTTAATGGATGTTAAAATTAGTTTAACTTAGAAATAAAAACACCAGCAGGGCTGAAAGAGTTTCCCAAAAATCTAATTTTTGACTCACTTTAAGCAATATGGCGAAGTCACGGGGCCTCTTAAAGTCGTAGGAAATTGTAGGGAATCGGCTGCTCCATTTCCGAATTCTCCCAGTGATGCCCGACTTTACACGAGTGAATAAAGTGAATGTGATTGGTCGATTATTATTATTGTTGTGGAAGAAGGTTTGCAAGCTTTTTGGTTGTGGCCGGTTTATGGGAAGCATCTTGCTAACCAGTTAGCATCTTAGTGCTAGCAGGTTCCCAATGGGAAATTCCATTGGGACCAAGTAGCACTAAATTGGTGACCTAGGCTACGTTCACACTGCAGGCCTTAATGCTCAATTCCGATTTTTTTGTGAAACTTCCAAGTATATGCGACTTGTATGTGATCTACTGTGTGAACTGAAAGCGTTCAACCGAAGTGTCCCGCATGCGCACTCGAGGACGCGATGACGTCACATGTAGCAAGCGTCCTCAGTGTTTGCGGAAGTAAACATGACTCGTAATACCGCAGCGTATATTGCGTTCTTTAAGTTCTTCTCCAACAGGAGCAGGCACATTACGAACGAAATCTTTTTAAGAAGATCAAAAAGAAAGACCCTCCCCCGGTTCCGGTAAGACCCTTCGAGTTTGGTCTGAATCGAGCTATCTTCCAAATATGAATTAAGTCAGCAACCTCACTTTCTCTCCATTGACTGCTCTCTGTGTTATCTTCCGCCATGGTTGTTAGTTTTTCCCGCCTCCGCTTAGTAGGACGCAGATTAGTAACGTTTAGTAACATTTGTCAAGTATCAATGACGTGTAGGTCGGATGAATGCGACCTGGCCGTACAGACACAGGTCGCATTTGAAAAGATCAGATACGTATCGGATTCAGGACCACATATCCAAGTGGCCGGGGTCGCATTTGAAAAAATTGGATCTGTGTCGTTCAGACTGTCATAAAAAGATCAGATACAGGTCACATATGGGCAAAAAAATCGGAATTGGGTCACTTCAGGCTGCAGTGTGAACGTAGCCTTAGAAACGACACGGTCAAGGAACGCTATGGACAGCGGAAGCAATTATGGGCGGCTCTTCCTCTGCGACCTACCTTCTGACGCAGCGTCCTGAAAGGGTGCTCCGGCGCTGCGGTCGGCTCGTTCAGCAGCACTCCAAGGTTGGTCAGGAAGTTCTTGGTGAACGAGTCGCAGTCGGTTATTTTGAAGGTGCGAGCGTAAAACACCACCTCCTGGTTGATGTTGAAGTGGAAGACGTTGTAGAACTGGTGCTGGTCCGGCAGAGGAATGCGGTGGCGGCGGATCACAGTTCCTGCACCAGGATTCAGCAGCTTTAGAAACAGCTTCATCATCACAGCGGGAACTTTTCACAGGGATCAGTGAAACCTTGAGGAACGCAGCCGTTCTTGCTTTTTGGCTCCACCACCTGGATGGTCCCGTCCTCCAAGTAGAAGTAGATCTTACACCTTCGGATGTTTTGCATCTCCAGCTCTGCATCGGGGACAGTTTCCTGATAGAACGCCTCAAAGCAGAGAACCTGGAGGGACATTATGGAACGCTTAGGCCACATTAAACACATCAGAGTTCTGCTGTTTAGCTAAAGAACATTCAGTGATAAAACGCCTTGCTTTCAAACCCCTGAGCTTTATTCACAGAGTCAGCCGGAAACTGAGGAGGAGCTGCAGACATTCACAGCTCAGGTGGAACAGTGTGACCACAGAACAACTAGTAGATTTCCTCTATTCTAACCTGGAGGAGTGGCTGGAAGAAAGAAACCTGCCGGTTTAGCAGATGTAAAGTCATGTGAGGGACAAAGGAGTCATGAGGAGCAGGTGAGAATAAACCTGTCTGAAGGTGTTAGAGGCTGCAGGAGACAGAGGAGAAGGTTGAGCTTCCCAAAGCAGAAGGACATGGAACAGTTCAATCTAAGCCAACGAAGGTGCCAAGGTGGACACGTCAAAGTCCAGACCAAGATCCCACTGAGGGGAACTGGAACGTTCATGTTCACAACTTACCAAAGAATAGGAAACATGACAGACTATGAATGTCCAAGATTGGCAAAGACCCTGTTACCCCCCCACCTTCAACCAACAGCGCTCACAGACTGCCCACACGGTTAGGGCTTCATCATCTTCCCTAGGAATGGGGATGAGTAAACGACAGCGTCTTTACGTACGAACATACATCAGATACGTCCCCTCATAGAGACGAGACAAAGCTGGTTAGAAAAACAACCTTTGAACCTGAAATTGTAGAAAGGGGATAAAGTTTAGATAGTTAAGTCTCCTTTTTCCTTGGTAAGGTATGATTAGCCTTTGGCCCTCAGTAGGACAGCGGTACTGGGGAGAGGCCTGCCAGGGAGACAGAGCCAGGAGAGGCTGGACAGAGCGAGCCTCTAGGCTAAAGCCGGACATACATGGCGGGACGTTTTCAATCATTGCTCACAGGTACAGCTCACACTGTACCACCAAACCACAGGGTTTGGAAGTTCCAGCTCACAATGTTTGTTCGATGCTTTGATGCAATCTACCTGCTCACACTGTACGTCTAAAAAGCCCACGTTGGATCCAGCGCCAAGAGGTGGCGCTACTCTGACTCATGATGGATTATTTATCCAGAAAGATTCTCTTCCCTTCAGGTGGTGAAAGAAAAGGCTGCAGGATAAATCAGGTCCTGTTTACTTTCATTTTAAAATACAGACAGAAAATCTGACGAGTAAAAGACAATGAGAAAGGAAAGCACACATGAATCTTATACCAGACATGGGCAATGTGGAGTCAACGAGTCATCTCCATGTCATGTATTTAATCTACCCAGCCAATTAACCAGGTGAGTCCAATCTGCACAGGTTAATTCACGGTGAAGATTGGACTCACCTGCTTCAGTGGCTGGGTAGAACAAACACATGACATGGAGATGACTTGTTGACTCCACATTGCCCATGTCTGCCTTATAGAAATGTTAAAGACGTGCTGAGGTCCAGGAAATAACAGGAAATACTGGTCATCTGTACTGGGTACAGCCTGCAGGCCCCAGTTTGGACACTGGGAGCCACAGCTGATCCCAGGGTGGAAACGGGAACCGCAGACGGGAACGTCTCATGGGAATGAGAGTTTAAAGAACATGAAAATCTAAACATGGTGTGAAAACGTTTCAACGTTAGCATAACTGATCAGCAGTTGATCACAGAGGAGCTCCTTCAAACCCAACCAGCTTTACCTGTTGGTCAAAGGCTAACCATGGTGGTCGATCACTGCCCTCTCCTCTGGGAAAGCCGGGATACTTGGACGGGATCTTCTGGCCGACTAAAGGATCTCCTCCAATCCCAGCCTTCTCCATCCCCATCAGCATGGGAATTCCTCCGGAAAAGTCGAAATGGTGGGATTTGTGAAATCTCTCCTTCCCTAGCTGAGGCCCAGAAGAGTCAGAGTGTTGGTTATCAAACAAGCGGCTTCATCTACAGATCAAATCCTGTCCGCTCAGAGGAGCTTCAATCAGTCTCCGACTGAAAGGCATGGACAGCTCTACCAGCATAGATCAGCAAAATAAGATTCTTCCTCATCACACTCCTACACTGAACTGTAAGAATATATTTTCTAAATTACATTTTTGTAGCAGAAATTGAATTTTGGAAAGTAAAAAAACAAATTATACCAATAAGAATAAAGTTTCATATATCTACAAATGTTTACACATTTTAAAAGGCGTTCTGACATTTATCAGCTGGACTGAACAGGTATTTATGATACCTGAAAAACATTTAAATTAATTAAAATAATGCAAATGCTGACCAGTAATATTAGGAATATGTAGATCTGAATATATTTTATAGACATCCAGAATGTTTATTCTAGATGTGAATAATTTGTTTTTCAGATATCAGGAATATATATTCAGTTAAACTAGTAAATATCAAAACGTCTTGCCATAGCCTGATAACATTATGGATTATTTCTTGAATGCTCGTAGATCAGTGGATCTATTTAGGTGAAATCTCCTGTCAGCAGGTGAAGATGAGGAATAAAAACTTTATTCTAATAAATAGAACCTGTTCATCATCTCATGGGTTCCTCCTCAGGTTGATTCAGTCGACCTGAGGACATTAAATTAATCTATTTAGACAGATTTTATTTGTCTTTTTGTTTACACAAGTGTAAAACAAAAATAAATTTTGTTTAGAACTGCTCTCTGAGAAATTTCATTTTTTTAAAGTGCAGCCGTGAAAAATAGTAAAAATTACTGTAAATGTACCATTCTAACATTTTTTTTTATATAATGATAAAATATAATAAATACAATACATGAACCTATTACATACAACATTCCTCAGTGTGATGGCGGTGGGGAAGAAGCTGCTGCAGAACCTGCTGGTCCTGCATTGAATGCTGGGAAGCCTCTTCCCAGAGGGCAGCAGGGAGAACAGTCCATGGTGGGGGGGTGAGGGGTCATTGATGATGTCACGGGACACGCAGCGCTGGGATGAAATGTCTTTAATGGAGGGAAGAGGAGCCCCCATGATCCTCTCTGCTGTTCTCACCTTCTTCCAGTCTGAGACGCTGCAGCCTCCACACCACACAGTGAGACAGCTGCTCAGAACGCTCTCTATGGTGCTTCTGGAGAAGGTGGGGAGGATGGGGGGGCAGGAAGTCCAAGCGCTTCTGGGCCCTTTGGACCAGTGAGGTGGTGTTTCCAGTCCAGGTGAGGGTGTCTGTGATGAATGTGGTGCTGCTGACCACCTCTACAGCTGAGCTGTTGATGAGCAGTGGAGCGTGGTTAGGCCGCTTCTTCCTGAAGTCCACCATCATCTCCTTGGTCTTCTCCACCTTCAGGATCAGGCTGTTATCTCTGCTCCACCAGCTGCTCCACCTCCTCCCTGTAGTCCTGCTGGAGAGCAGCAGAGATGGTGTCCTCAGTGGAGCGGTTCCGTCGGTTGGCGGCAGACTGGAGACGATGTGTTCTTTAACCATTAGCAACAATCTGACGGAGTCATGGCTGCATCCAGCGATACCGGACAATGCTATTAGCCTGGAGGGGCTAACGCTATGCCAGGCCGATAGAAACAATGAACTAAGCGGTAAGACTCGGGGCGGCGGGCTCTGTGTTTACATCAACAACAGCTGGTGTAAAATGCTGGATCAGTCTCCAGCTTCTGCTCTCCAGACATGGAGTTTCTGACTGTTAACTGCAGGCCGTTCTATCTGCCCAGAGAGTTCAGTGTGGTTAGCATCACTGCTTTATATGTGCCCCCCCCCCAGCGCTAACACTAAAGAGGCCATGAAGGCTCTATACCAGAATATCTCTGAGCTCCAATCTGCACACAGAGGCTGTTTCCATCATTGCTGGGGATTTTAACCCCCCGCCCCTACCTCAGGTCATTATCCCTGCATATAAGCCCCAGCTGATCAGGGCTAAACCAACAGTTAAAGAGGTCAGAGTGTGGTCTGAGGGCGCCATGGAAACACTCCAAGACTGTTTTGAATGCTCTGACTGGAACATCTTCAAGGCTGCAGCAACATATGGCAACTTATTAAATATTGATGAGTCTGCCATGACTGTGTCAGCCTACATCAACAAATGCATGGAGGATCACAGACTACAACACCCCCTCCCCCCCGGTAGAAGCAGCAAACTCTGACTTCCTAAATGAAGTGAACAACTTCTTTGGAAGGTTTGAGGCACTAAACAGCCTCCAGCAGTGAAAGCTGTTCCACACCAGGGGGAGGAGCCACTAAACCTGGACGTAGCTGAAGGGAGGAAAACTCTGAGGAGAGTCAACCCAAGGAAGGCCCCAGGGCCTGGTAACACACCTGGGCAGGTGTATAAGGAGTGGTCAGATCAGCGAGAGTTGGAGATTATCCATTTTGTTTTCCAATGAGCGGATGCTGGAGAGCAGGATTGATGGAAGCGGAGGTCTGTGAGGATTTCTCTTTAGCTTCACAGCTAAACCCCCCCACCCCGCATCCTCGTTTTCTCCGTCTCTTCCTTCAGCAGTTACGTTCCGCTGTTGTGTTGTTGGGATCCATCCGTAGAACTCTGCAGCTTTTTAAACGGTCAAAAATGTCTGGATTTAGAACATTTTGTGACCGTAGCTCCAGCAGGCGTTGGCCATCATAGATGCAGGTTTGAAGTCTGGTTTGTAAAGTTTTAAGCGGAGGAGCAGTTCTTGGCTGTGCTTTGGAGCGCCGCCATGGTAACCAGAAAAGTTTTTTTATTTTCATTTTGTGTAATCTGAAAATGATTTCAGTAGTTCTTCATGTACTGTAAATGTAACATAAAAAATCAAAATGATCCACATCTGGCTCATATTAAACCAGTAATCTCCTCTCCTGTCACTGAGCTCTAGAATCCTCTCCCTATAAATATTTCATTCTCTGTGAATTAATGCCGATCATTATTTAATTAGATCCTCGTCAATCAGACATGCAGTGTTGGTCTTTAAGACCTAATGTTTCTAACGGACCTTATTTCTATGCACAAAACTAGAGAAAGATTTCAGAGGACACTGATGGAAACCAGGTGAACTCTGTTACCATGGCAACAGAAACAGGTAGAGGAAACTCCAGGTCAGATGGGTCTGATGGGAACCATGGAGATGGATCCTGGTTCTGGGTCTCCTCAAACGGTCGTTGTATTAAAGTAAAAATGGATGATCAGTTTTTATGGGTTTTATTAGATCACCATGGAAACGTCTAGAATCTGTTTGAAACCTTAAAGTCCCAAAACTACATCTAACCAAGTGGGATTATAACACCATCACCTCTCTGACATGAAAATAAAGATTTCACATTGATAAATATCATGATCCACCGATTACAGGTTCATCATCACCTTTATCTCACTGCCTAAAAGCAGCTTAGCTCAGAGGCTAGCCTGTTAGTTTAGCTCAGAGGCTAGCCTGTTAGCTTAGCTCAGAGGCTAGCCTGTTAGTTTAGCTCAGAGGCTAGCCTGTAAGTTTAGCTCAGAGGCTAGCCTGTTAGCTTAGCTCAGAGGCTAGCCTGTAAGTTTAGCTCAGAGGCTAGCCTGTTAGTTTAGCTCAGAGGCTAGCCTGTTAGTTTAGCTCAGAGGCTAGCCTGTTAGTTTAGCTCAGAGGCTAGCCTGTTAGTTTAGCTCAGAGGCTCAGCTGTTAGTTTAGCTCAGAGGCTAGCCTGTTAGTTTAGCTCAGAGGCTAGCCTGTTAGTTTAGCTCAGAGGCTAGCCTGTTAGTTTAGCTCAGAGGCTAGCCTGCAAGTTTAGCTCAGAGGCTAGCATGTTAGCTTAACTCAGAGGCTAGCCTGTAAGTTTAGCTCAGAGGCTAGCCTGTTAGCTTAGCTCAGAGGCTAGCCTGTAAGTTTAGCTCAGAGGCTCGGCTGTTAGCTTAGCTCAGAGGCTAGCCTGTTAGCTTAGCGCTGATCTTACCTGAACGTTGGCTGAGTTTCCTGCTAGAGTCGGCAGAGCCATGATAACAACTTCTAACTCTTTAACTTCTTCTTCAACTGCTTAGCGGAGAGGTTGCGATGGTGGGTTACCATGGAAACGTTTTTGTTTGACGCGTCTCCTAGCAACACACGGAAGAAACTTTGAGCTACTGGCGCATAGATAGATAGATAGATAGATAGATAGATAGATAGATAGATAGATAGATAGATAGATAGATAGATAGATAGATAGATAGATAGATAGATAGATAGATAGATAGATAGATAGATCACTGTCCCCCATACATCTGCAGTTATTTTTTTTATATTTATATCTTTTAAAAACAAAGCTGGGGGACGGTGATTGGCCTACATGTTATGAACTGGGACCAACTGGAAAACCACACATCAATAACTGATGAACCTTCCATAAAGGAGTTACATAGATCTTAATGTTTAAGTGCTATTTATATTAAGAAACATAACCTCTGTAACTCAACGGTTACAGAGTTCGGGTTTCTGAGAGTTCATCGTAGGGTCGACACGCCGCTGAGGATATAATTGTTTATTTTTGAACACCACTAAAGTGCAGGAGGTGGGAAGCAGATGGATCCTAACTAAAGTCTCTAATGTCCCCCCCCCCCCCCCCCCCCCCATGCTGGTTCAGCTGGTGCTGAACTGGACAGCTCCTTCAGTGACAGACTGCTGCACCTTAAATGCACCAGGGAGCGTTATCACAGATCCTTCCTCCCAGCAGCTGGAAGACTCTAGAACCACCACTGTTCCCAGTAACCTCAACCAGTTCTTCCATTCAGGCTGATTCTGCTCAGTTTCTACCTCAGTCAGTTAAATAACCTGCTGCTGTCATTCTGCACATCTCTGATGTTGCTGCTATTTTCAAATTACTGGAAAAATGTCCATAGCTGCATATTGGTTATTTATTGTTCATCTACAGAGTATTTATATGGTAAAAACACTTTACAGGATTTATTGTTAATCTTTTAACTCTTCACTGTTATTCTTATACATTTTTCTAAGGTCCACATTTGTGTGACCATTTTTTTTCTATTATCTTTTGCTGCTGTAACACCAGAATTTCCCCATTGTGGGACAATAAAGGGATTTTCTATTCTATTCTGTTCTATTCTATTGTTATGAAAGAGGAATAGGGCCACTAAAATAATAATGGTTAACAGATTTTTAAATTTTATTTCAGTATGAGAAAAAAGTCAGAATTCTGACAGCTAACAACCATGTTAGCATCCAGCCGTAGCCATGTCTGTTTTAGAGTCTAGTTCTCTTGTTTTAATCTCCTTCTGTTCTTCCATTAATCAAATATCATCAGCAGGGACGGAAAAAGTCGCCTAATTCCATAATTTTCCACCAATGTGTTCCTGTTCCTCTCAAACATCTCACATCTCTGTCAGTGAAGCTGAGTGATCCTCATCTCTGCCTTCATGGAGCCCATCTACTTTAAGATCCACAATTCTGAGATTCAAGTCAGAATTCTGAGATTTAAGTCGGAATTCTGTCTTTTTTCCCATATTAAAATTGAAATAATATTTAAAAATCAGTTAACTTCTTTTTTTCAGTGGCCCTTACTCTCTTCCGTAGCTTATATTCTAAAGATTGAACTGTAAATAATGGTCCCTCCTAGAGAGGTGAGAAAAAGAACAAAAGACTGATTTGAGAAGTTTTTATTGGATGAAGTTAGCGATCCACAGTCTTCCAGCATCCACAGCATGATTAACTAAACACACACATATAAAAAGGAGACGTCAGTGTTTCAGATGAACCATCAGAGGACCATCTGAAACCATGGCAACCATTGATTGAAACCTCTGGCAGGTCAAAGTTGATCTAGATGCTGGAAAAATAGTGCAGGAGTTTTCCTTCCGGAACAATTTCAGTTTGGATCAAATAAATAGAAAACAGGATTAAGGAAGCTGTTAAGTTCTCCATCTTTCTGCTGCAGCATCATCAGACCACTGCAGCCTACAGAGCTTTAACTGACAGTTTAACAGGAGAACGATGTGCAGCTTCAGAGGACCCCCCCCCCCCCCCGTGATCAGCAGGGACACTGACTCTGCTCCTCTGCTCGTCCTAAGACGCCAGGCCCAGCAGGAATCCTCCCACGAAGCCGCTGGTCACTACTACGTTTTTCTTCACAAACTCTGTGGACTGAAGAGAGACAGAAAAAAAACCACATGATTAAATTCTATTCAGTTTATTTCTATAGCTCCAATTCACATCATGTCATCTCAGGTCACTTTCCAGTTCACCAGATCATCCAGTCAGATTGATTCAAAGTTTTCTATCTAAGGAAAACCAGCTGATTGCATCGACTCATTGACTCTTCAGCAATCCCTCACACTAAGCATGCTTGTAGCGACAGTGGAGAGGAAAAACTCCCTTTGAACAGGAAGAAACCTCCAGCAGAACCAGGCTCAGTGTGAGCGGCCATCTGCTGAGGCCCACTGGGGTTCAAGGAGACAGAAGCAGACATAGAAAAAGAAGCATAGATACAAAAGGCAACTGTCAACCAGCTCCACAGGCGGCCCCGTCCAGGAAACACACAGCCAGGCAGACGAGCTCCGAGCCAGCTCCCATGTCAGAGGATGAAGAGAGCACATCCAGTTAGTCACAGTCAGAGAAACAGGACTACACTGGAAAACAGGCCAAGCTCCAACATCTAGAAACAAAGGTGTTGATGGCAGCAGCACAGCTGATATTTGTACTTCATATAGGGCCCACCCAGATAATGTTGCTTACGGGCCTACTGTTGTGTCGTTACGCCATTGTGTCAAAGAACACTACTGCCACCTACTGGTTAGTGACGTCAAGGTGCGGTATCGGCTGTTGATCAAGTCCCAGTGCTGTATCTGGTGTTTGTCACAACGCGCTATTATCCAAGTCATCTTGAAAACCTTCTTCTTCCAAATGTTGGCTACATATTACGGGTTTTTTCTCTGGCCAGAAGTTCGATGGCAAATCCTCCCTCTTCAAGTTGGCGATCCAACGACCAACCCGTCCGTGGAGGATCAGGAATCAGAAAGGTGGAATAACTCTTTCTTTCACTTTTACCCGATGTATTCCAGCATCCAGCTGCCATGCACGTGGGCATTGTCAGTTTCACTATAGCTCTGGTGAATTTCAATGGTGAAGTCCTCTGGAAATCTTCAATAATTGTTGTTGATTGCAGATGTGTCTAGTAGTTCCCATTGATTTAGCTTGGAAAGCGGGGAGAATGGCGCTAGGCTTACCGCACCGTGACGTCACTGCTGGAAGATGGCAGGAGGGAGGGGCTACTATATTTGGGGTAAAATGGCCGCTCACAGACTCAATGATTGTTATGAAAATTTTTATTTTTATTTTCTTACTGATTAACGCTAAATTTATTAAATCACAGCAAATGTTTTAGTTTTAGGTATAAATAATGATCCATTGATTATTCCTGCTGACCAGACTTTTCCTTAACAGCCCCCACCGCCCCCGCCCAGTCTCCCGGAGCTCCACAGGGACAGGTCTGAATGACCTCCGACCCACAGCTCTGACATCATCAACCAACAGCATCACTGTGAACCCACATCGCTACGTCCCCCCCAGTTCCAGCCTCCCACTCAGGCGGGCGTCAGTTTCTAACCTGCTGTAACACAGCTCCATTCATCTCTTTCCAATTTATCATTTTTAAATGTCTCATAGTGGTACCAAAACCTGAGCTAATAAACAGATGAGCCGGTCCGGTCTTTGGGACCCATCACCATGGCAACCATGCTCCCACCTATGGCCGTCAAAGCAGAGCATAGCTACATTCTTTTACTGGAAAACAACGTCAGAGAGCTGCTAAGTTTGCAGCATGGCTGCCCCCTAATGGTGAGACAGAGATTTAAGAAAACTATATATTGAAAATACTTTACACAATTTATAAATGTATATAAATTATTAATATTATGAATATTTGGGAAATGATTCAGACTTTTTCATTTTACTATTGGATTTTAATTTCATTATTTTGAGGCCAAAGAAACACAAGTTGCTGGGAGTTATGTAGTCATGGCAACAGATCCTGCTTGCTGTAAATGTACACAGGAGGAGGAAATACATCTCGGATTCGTCTCCTCATCTTATCTCCTCGACCTCAGAGCGCACCGGAACGTTCGGACACCTGTAACCATGGCAACCTGCCTGTAGCTCAGAGTCAGATGAGATGGTGCCGCTGCGCACTTTCACATTTATTTATGCAGTTTAATGTAACCATGGTATTTTAGAGTGTGATCCTGGGTTCTTCCTGTAATGGAAGAACTGTTCAATAACATTTAAATAGTATAATTATAGAATTATTTTCTTTGCATAAAAGGATTCTGGAGGTAATAGAGTCCCGTGTGACATCATCACCAGGTTCCTGCCAGCTGATCTAATCTACGCTGTTATTACTGTGAAGTTTAATTAACAGCTCAGATATTCACCTGAGAACTGATGATGTTCCAGACCCTGCTTGGTGCCCTGAAGGCTATATGACAATAAAGTAGTGAATCTCAATCTATTTACTTATTGTTTTATTGGATTTTAAATATGCCTATAGGCTCATAGGTCTTTAGTCCACAAAATAAAAAATATTCACAGCACCTCCTGATCTAAATGCCTTCCAGAGGCGCTGAGCTTTGGAACCGCCACGGATCGTTACCATGGCGACGCTCCAAAGCAGCGGCCAAAAATTTGTAAAAATTAATGCTAGAACTGTAAATATACAGTCATATGTTTATATTACTATTTTTTTATGTATTTATTGGTTTTAAAGGCTGCACTTTAAAAAAATGTAATTATCTAGAGCTGTTTTAAATGAAATTTCTTTTTGCTTATATTCATGTATCCAGAATAAACCTGTTTAAGGATTCAGGTAAACAGACGCTTCTCTCTGAGCTCCTGCATCACAGGAGCTTCGCTCTCTACCAAAGTCACCAAAACCTGCATCCCATCCAACATGGAGGAAGCAGCTTCTTCTTCTCTTGTTTTTACTCAGTGAGACGGACCTGGAACATGTCCAAACGATCACAGCAGGGAGTTGTGATCTGAAGACAGGATGAAGGTTGCTTTGGACGGTTGGATCCCGGTGAACCTACCCGCTCCATGAAGGTGTTCAGCTCGGGGACAGCCTGGTCCGTTCCCTTCTTCAGCTGCTTCTTAGCCTTGTTCACGTCCTTCTCCACTCGCTTCCAGTCCACCTGGATGTAGCCGCTGTTATTGGCGATCTGAAAGCAGACATCAGTGAAACGGAGGAGAGAGCAGCAGGAGAACAGCACCAACAGAGGAGGAGTAATACCTGCAGCAGCAGAAGACCTCCACCTACGGCTGTGGCAGCCACCTTTCCCACCTTCTGGAAGAGATAACCTGCACACCTGGAAGGGAAACAGGTGGGGGAGGGGGGTCAGTGAGAAGAGAAACAGCTCAACAGCAGGAACCTTCAGATGACCATTACTGCCCCGCCCCTTACCCTGCTGCCCTTAGATCTGTTTAACCATGGTACGGCAGGCAGCGCAGGTGAATAATGTGACAGATGAGCTCACAGCAGAACATCACACAGCTTTCATGCTCTGTCCTGTCTGGATTCAAAGCTCTACACGACCCAATAAAAACTGCAGATTAAAATATTTCACCCCGTCAGCAGCCTATGATCTGACGCCATTTCAAAGCCGTAGACCAGTAACTCTGGGAATGGAGGAGGGGGGGGCCTGCAGCAGCCAGCGATGGCCGCTAGACGAAACAGGAACATTAGTTGGTGAGAAAAGCTGAAGAAGCTGTTAGATCAACCAGAGGGTGATCATCCAGTCCTGGAGCTCTGCTGCCCCCTACCTGTCAGAGGCGTCTCTGCTGGTCAGCACATAGATATCCATAATAAAGACTAGATGTCTTACGGCGGAGTCTCAAACGTCATAACCGGCGGCCATCTTACCTCAGGCAGGCTTTCTGTTGTGCTCTGTGGTACCTAATGTAAGGTGAGTGATCAGCACGAACACAAATACTCTTACCTCACTGAATTCTTGACGGATTTACAAACAGTTTGGTTTCTTACAAACATTATGAACGTGGCTATAATTCTAGATGCTTGAACATGACGAAATTGCAGATTTTCTTGTCGAAAAATGACTTAATCGCGCAGCATAGTTGTGCATCACGGCTACTTGCGCAAGTTATCAAGGCTGAGACTATTAGTCAATTATATAGGTTTTACTGACACCAATAACGATTGTATGACAATTAATCTTTGGTGTAAATTACAATCTTTGTGGATGTGGTTGTAGTTATTAGTTGGCTAATAACAATAATCTGAGTGTTGTTGTATTTTCATTATTAGCCTAACGTTAGCTGGCTAATAACAAGAAGCTGCGAAGTGAGACCTAACGTTAGTAAGTTAGCAGCTAACGTTACAGTTTAGCTAGCTGCTAACGTTAACCAGCAACTTTACATCAGTGGAAGAGGCAGAATTTAACATGATTTCCAATCGATTTGGTCTGTCAACACATCTTACATTATGTTACAGGAATTTGCTGGGTTTATTAAAAGGAAGATGCCAGACTTTTGCTATGACATAATAGTATTACAAGACTGTTGTTGACTCAAAGCTTTTATAAGCTTGTATTAGTTTCATTTGGACAACTTAAAGATGGTGTTGTGCCAAACATTTTCAACTTTCCAGCTCATCTTCAAAGGGCATGTGTATCATTGAAATTTAATCACATATTGATATACCAATCTTATACACTGTGAATTGTTGTTGGTCACTTTTGTTTTTGTTTCTGCAGGTTATATAATGTGTAAGCAGGAGGAGAAGATCTTCCATCCCCGTTTGCTGACATTCCTGCACTAGTACATGACCACAGCTACCTTCCTGTCCGCTTTGATGGCCTTGTGGACAACGCTCTCTTGTACATTACACAGAAGCTCAATAAAACCGTCCTTTTCAAAGGGCATTAGCCAAGCTATGTTTTTTGGGTCATTTTTTAAATCTCTGTCTTCCATGTGTATACCATCACAGTAGTGTAGGTGGGGATTTCAACATGCTTCATCTATATATACTTGTGAAGGGGACTATTGTACCAATTTTAATAGCAAATAAATGTCACTTTTATAATGGTTTAAAAATAGGAACTTTTGTGTAATTACCCCTGATATATAATCCGAATAGTCTACATGAAACTTCAAAGTGTTACCTTTAATTTGAAACCTGGATTATGCTTCTACACCAAGAGGTTGCCACACAATAAGCCTTTTTTGTCAGTATTTCATATTTTATTATAACAATAATATTCATATTATAAAAGTATGTATGTAAATATAAATAAATTAGGACTGTGAAATAATTAATCACACCCAAATAAAAGTGTTTATTTATATATATATATATATATATATACACACATATTAAAATATATATATAAATATGTATATATACATATTTATATATATATACATAATTTTATTTATATATATACATATTTTTATATATATACACATATTTATATATATAGGTATCTATATCTATATAGATATCTATATATCATGTTGCCATTCAGTACACTGAGTTTTATTAGCATATATTGATTTAACATAAATACCTTGTGCATGTGTATATTTATTGCACCTGTATGTTCTATTCAATGTTCTTTTCATATGAAATACCATGGTTATAATTATTCATAAGTGTGCAGTATCATAACTACATGTCTGACTTTTGTTTAACAAACCAAACAATTAGACAATTCAGGAAGTTATGGTTATTTCAGTACATGCGCCTTTAAAACACAATGTTACGAATGAGCGAGCTGCCTGTAGCAAGATGGCCGCCACGTGCGGACGTCGACCCCCATTGGCCAGCAGCGCGGACGAGACATCTAGCCTTTATTATGGATGTCTATGGGTCAGCAGGACTCTCTTTCAGTTCCTCCAGTTCTCCTGCCAGCTGGTCTGCAGGAGGTCCAGGAGGTCTGCTTTAGTCTGATGAAAGGTTTCTGATCTGCTCCTCTGACCAAACCAGTTCACATTATCGCCTCCATTCCTACTGGAAGAGCACTGGGGGCGCCTCCGTCCTCCATTCCCACTGCCACTAACCATCTAATAACTGAAGTCAGAGGCCCCTGGGTTTGGCCCCTCCCAGTCCAGCACCTACACATAATCTGGAGCCCTACTGCACGAAATAATGAAGAAAAGAAAAGGAACATTTGCTTTTAGCAAAGAGAAAATCTGATCAGACCTGAAAACCTTTCAAACTGCTGCATAGTTTCCTTTTTACAGGAACCAGGTCCCTCACTGGGGCCCCTCTGACCTGCAGGAGGTCTTCAGACTCCTCCTGCTCCTTCCAGCTGGAGGAGAACTGCTCCTCCTGTTAATGTTTTCACTGCTGATCTAGAATCAAATATCTCGCTGGATGGAAACATGACTTCAGATTATTGTCCCACTATTGGCTGAAGGCAGGAGGGACAGCATGGGGGGGGGGGGCAGTTCTTACCATCCACTCACTCCTCCTATGGCGATCTGCGTGGCCACGGAGCGTTTGGCCCCCAGGGGCCCGGAGTCCTTCCCGAACAGGCGGCTCCACCATCGCTGCCGTTTAGCGTATTCCGTCAGATCCACGACCTTGTCGTAAATTTCCTCTTCGACATCTTGATGAGGAAAAAACAGACAGATTAGCAGGAGGCAGAGTCCAGTTCTACTGGACCGGAACCAGGACCAGAACCAGCACCGAGACCGGAACCAGGACCAGAACCAGCACCGAGACCAGGACCGAGGAAAACAGCGTTAGCTCGGAGCTAGCAGGCGGCTAACGGTTAGCACAGAGACAGAAAGGCTTCATCAGTGGAGAGCTGCTTTGCTCATGGGCCACGGAAGGAGTTCAGCTACGGACAGAAAAAGAGCAGAGCTCACCTTTGCTGCGGCTCGCCATCTTGGAGTGTGGTGGGATGTCCCTCTGCGGGACCCGTCATTTGCATAAAGTGGACAGAAACAGGAAAGAGAAAGTGATCTCTGCAGAGACACTTCCTCTGTCCCACAGAGACATTTCCACTGTCCCACAGAGACACTTCCACTGTCCCACAGAGACATTTCCACTGTCCCACAGAGACACTTCCATTGTCCCACAGAGACACTTCCATTGTCCCACACAGAGACACTTCCACTGTCCCACAGAGACACTTCCTCTGTCCCACAGAGACACTTCCATTGTCCCACACAGAGACACTTCCACTGTCCCACAGAGACACTTCCACTGTCCCACAGAGACACTTCCATTGTCCCACACAGAGACACTTCCTCTGTCCCACAGAGACACTTCCACTGTCCCACAGAGACACTTCCATTGTCCCACACAGAGACACTTCCACTGTCCCACAGAGACACTTCCTCTGTCCCACAGGTTTATTTATTCATTCCTTAATTCAGATGTTTTTAAAAGCTACTCTAATTAAAGCGCCCCCTGTTGATCCACAGCAGCGGCTCCAGGTTGCTGAGTTTGACCTGCAGCTTCCAGAGAAACATTTTCCTATAAAATAAATTCTTCCTGTTTTACTGTGAATAAAATAATAAAATAATAATGTGCTGCATTTGGACAGTTATTAGAAACCATCTGATGATGCTGAGCTTAAAATGAACAGATCCAGTCAGGTGACTGATTTATATTAGATTTATTGGCTTCAGAGGAATAATCTGAACATGAGCAGCTGAGGGCAGCACTGCTTAAAGCACCGAGGTTCTCGGTTTGAATCCCTGCATCAGGTGCTGCCCATGGAGCCACAGTCTGAGGGACGGCAGCCCTGATCATTCAGCCTCTGTGACGCTGTGTTTTTCCCCATGATGGACAGGCTGTTTTTCCCTTCATCAGTCACCTTTAGAATCACTAAAAACTGGATAATCCAGTCTGCTAATCCCAAACTATCTATGCTGCTACTGATTGGAATCATTTATTAGACTGGATGTTAAAACAAGACAAAAATCATCAACCATTTATCACCAAGAATGAAATTCAGTTGGTTTTTATTTTTCCTACAGTTCTTAACCCAGTTTTATTCATAGCTTTATGCCAATAAGTTAACCAAAGAATTTTCACCATGATGTCGTTAAAGCAATAACTGCATCAGTCGGGGTTAAATCATTTATCGTCAGCTGAAGCATGATTTAAAATAAAACTGTCGTTCATTGGGAGGGTCTCTGGACCAGGAATGTAAATAAAGCTCAAGATTAGATTCGACGGCCCTCTGGATAAACAAACACCCAATAAATGGGATTTCTTTCCCTGAAATACGAAATGTAAAATTGCACTAAATCGGCTTATTTGATTTTGTCTCCGACATATCTTAGGATCTAGTGCTGGGATTCCAACACACAGCGAAACAAGAGGAAATGCTAACAAAGCAAGTCCAAACATTTTAATAAGATAAAAATCCACGTTTAGTTTTTCATTTTGGTGTTATTAAAATTTAGCTATCTGAAATTTAACTGGTCATATATCTATAGTTGATATCTATAATGGCAATTTGATGTCAATAATTGGATTTATGGATATTAAGAGTGCCATATAAATTGATATCTGAAATATTAACTGGATTATGGAGATCTGGAATTAAAAAAATCCTAGATAGGAGAAATGTTATTTTAGATATCTGACAGTAAAAGCCGAATACACACGAATGGGAAACCCCACATTATTTATACTAGTGAAAATTTGAATTTAACATGTTTAAAATTATCATTTTAGATAGGAAGAATGATATTTTAGATGTCTGAAATGTTCATTTTGTCTTGGAAGAAATGCATTTTCGACATCTGAAACACACATTCTGTCAGGCTAATAAATGACAAAATATTTATTCTTAATAGTACAGTAATATTTTGTGCAATCTGAAATGTAGTTTTTGCTGAAAAAATGTACTTTGGGATATCTATATTTATAGTTCTGACTAGGATTGTAGTTTTGAGCAGGAAGAATGTAATTTTAGAGATCTACAGAAGGAACAATAGAGGTTCTAATAAATGCTAAAATGGCCTGCCATACCCTTGAACAAACTGACAGGCTGCCTGACCAATAGGATTCAGGGAAAATTCGCTTACGTACTACCAATACAATGAAGCGAGCCAATCGCGTGGCATGAGAACGGTGAACGTTTGTGTTGGACGCGGAAAAATTCAAAGCAGAAACATCACTTTTGAAAAGGCGGATTTGGCATAAACTGGTATGTGAATGGTTCGGATGGAAATTGAGATAGGAAATGAGGAAGACGAGGATTTTGAAGGGTGGACGCCTGCGGGAAGAGGGAGAGGTCATGGAAGAAATAAAACTGATGAAGGAAGGGGAAAAGGTGACAGTTGGAAGGAAGTAGCTCAGAAGAAGAAAGGGTGGTTAGGAGGAAAGTTGTGAGGGAGGAATTTAAAGTAATATTAAAACTTAAAAATGAGGGAGAAAAGGATAAAATCAGTCCCATTGTGGTATCAAGAGAAATAAAAAAGAAAATTGGAGATGTTGAAATGGTAAAGATTTTGAGAGACGGAAACCTATTGGTAATATGTAAAGATATAGAACAAAAGAATAAGGCTTTAAATGTGGAGAGTATCTGCAAAAGAACTGTTCTGGAGAAAAAAATCATGGGAGAAAATAAAAAAATTAGAGGAGTGATTTAATGGATCCCTCTTGATGAAGATCTTGATAAAATCAAGAGAAGTGTTGTGGGTGCAAAGGTGAACAACTTGAAAAGATTATCAAAAACAGTGAATGGAGAAAGAGTAGGAAGCTTGTCAATCCTCATTGAATTTGAAGATGAAGAGCTGCCAAAAAACATCAAAATAGGATACCTCAATTTTCAGGTCAGACCGTATGTACCTCCAACACTTCGGTGTTTCAAATGCCAAAGATATGGACACATAGCAGCAGTCTGCAAAGGGAGGCAAAGATGCCCAAAATGTGGAGAAAATCACAAATTAGAAGAGTGTAAAGAAGAACAAGAAAAATGTTGTAACTGTGGAGGGAGCCATAGAGTCACGTTTGGAGGATGTGAAGTAAGGAAAAGGGCAAAAGAAATCGTACAGATTAAAACAACTAAAAACATAAGCTATGCAGAAGCAGTTAAGAATGTGAAGGAACAGGAAACAAGAGAGATTAAACAAACAGTGAGACAAACTACACAACAAAGCAAAGTACAGACAGAAGAAAGAGCCACAATTCCAGTGGAAAAACTAATATTATTCATAGCTTATGTTATCAACTGCACTGACCAAGCCAAACACAAAACTGAGAAGATTAAAATAATAGTGAGAGGAGCTGAAAAGTTTTTGGGATTTAAAGAGGGGTCATGGGAGAACATAAATAAAGAGTTGGAGGAAGATGGGAGACCAGGACCTTCGGGTGAAAACGGTTCATATTAATACTACAATGGAACGCTAGAAGTTTAATCGCTAATGGACAGGAACTTAAAGGTTATATTAATGAGCTGGAAGAACAACCGGAAATTGTTTGTGTTCAGGAAACATGGTTAAAAACAACATTAGATTTTGTGATTAAAGGATATGATAGTGTAAGAAGAGATCGAGCAGAGGGAAGTGGAGGAGGATGTGCAATATTTATCAAAAAAGGAATACAATATCAGATATTGGGGAAAGGGAAAGAACTAGAATATGTGGTAATTGAGATATGGGAAAAGAAGGTAAATTAAAAATAATAAACTTTTATAATCCATGTAAAACATTATCGATTGAAATAATGGAGGAGTTAACTGAATATTTGGAAGGGAAGGTAATTTGGTGTGGAGATTTTAATGCTAATAGTACAGTGTGGGGTAAATGTAATGACAAAAACGGACAAGTTATAGAAGAAATAATGGAAATGAAAAATCTAGTATGTATTAATGATGGAAAGGGAACAAGAATCAATATAAGAACAGGGATGGAATCAGTTATTGATTTAACAATTGTCTCAAATGTTTTAGCTGGTATTTGTGATTGGTTCATTGATAAAAAATCAACAATAGGTAGCGATCATTTCCCCATAACAGTAAGAGTAGGGCTAAATTTAAATAATAGGAATATTAAAATTGGGAAAAAGTATAATTTTAATAAGGCTGACTGGACTAAATTTAGATATTTGAGTCAAATAAACTTAGAAAAAGTAGACATGAGTATGGATATAAATGATTTAAATTTAATAATTGGTCATATAATAATGGAAGCAGCAGATAATTCTATAAAGAAATCAGGGAGTAAGAATGATAAGAAAATGGTTCCATGGTGGACAAATGAGTGTAAAGAAGCAATTAAGTTAAGAAATAAAGCATTTAAGACACTCAAATATAACCCAATTTATAAAAATGTAATTGATTATAAAAGAAAACAAGCAATAGTAAGGACAACTATAAAGAATGCAAAAAGAGAATATTGGAAAAAATTCTGTAATACGATAGGGAAAGAAACAAAAATAGAGAAAATTTGAAAGGTAATCAAAATAATGAATGGTATAAAAAGAGAGTTTGACTGTCCTGTTCTAAAAATAGATGATACAAACATAATAAGAGATGAAGATAAAGTTGAAATATTGGCAAGAATGTTTAGTAAATTTCATAGTTCAAATAATATTAGTGAAAATGGAAGAAAAGGTAGAGAAAATAGAAAAATTAAATATAAAGATTTTATACAGAGCGTTGAAGAAACAAATAATTTGTTAAATGTTGAGTTTACAAAAACGGAATTGAACAATGCACTTAAAAAGACAAAAAACACAGCACCAGGTAAAGACCAAATCTGGTATAGAATGATAGGGCAACTTAGTGAAAAATCTAAACATATAATATTACAACTATATAATAAAATTTGGGAGGAGGGAAAATTACCGTTGAACTGGAAGGAATCAATTATAATACCGATAGCCAAACCAGGAAAAGATCATTCAAACCCAGAAAACTACAGATCAATAGCCTTAACATCTAATTTATGTAAAATAATGGAAAAAATTATTAATAATAGACTAGTATATTATCTAAATAGTAAAGGATATATATCAAAATATCAAAGTGGTTTTCGAAAAGGGAGGAGCACTAACGATCCAACGCTCTGTTTAGAGCACGAAATTAGAAGAGCACAAGTAAATAAAGAAAGTGTAGTGGCTGTATTCTTTGATATATGACATGATGTGGGTGGATGGATTATTAATTCAATTATACAAGTTTGGTATTAAAGGGAGAATATTTAAATGGATTAAAGACTTTTTAACAGGTAGGAAAATACAAGTTAGAATAGGAGAAACTACCTCCGGAAAATATATATAAGTCCACTATTGTGATAATAAATGATGTATTTAAAGATATTGAAAAAGACATGGGGTGTTCACTATTTGCAGATGATGGAGCTGTTTGGAAACGAGGGAAAAATGTTGATTTTATTGTTAAAAAATGACAAAAGGTTATTATTGAAATAGAGAAATGGGCGTTGCAATGGGGATTTAAATTCTCAGTTGATAAAACGAAAGTAATGTTATTTACTCAGAAAAAAATAAACAAGGAAATAAAATTAAAATTATATAAACAAGAGTTAGAGCAGGTAAAGTGTATACAATTTTTACGATTATGGTTTGATGAAATTTTAAAATGGCATATACATATACAAAAAGTTGTTGATAAATGTAAGAAAATCTTGAATATTTTGAGATGTTTGGCTGGCAGTGACTGGGAAGCAGATAGGAAATCACTAAAACAGATTTACTCAGGAATGATAAGATCCAACATAGACTTTGGTTGTTTAGTGTTCGGTTCAGCAGCTAAAACACATCTAACCAAATTAGACATTATCCAACATCAGGCACTAAGATTATGTACTGGAGCATTTAAAACCACACCAACAGCAGCATTAGAAATAGAAATGGGAGAAATGCCATTAGATTGAAGAAGAACAAAATTAGAAATCAATTACTGGTTAAATTTACAAGGAAATAATGGGGATCACCCAACTTTGGACATTTTAAATCCATGCTGGGAAAAAGAAAAGAAAGAAATGAGGAGTTTTGGATGGACAATTGAAAATAAAATAAAATTTTTTTAAATGAATAGTTTAGAAATGAGTCAAACAACACCAATATCAATGATACCTCCCTGGATTCTACCAGAAGCAACAGTAGATATGTCACTAATGGAAAAGAAACAAGATAAATCGTACACGGTAGATATTAATTTAGTACAGTTACATTTAGACAGTTATTATCAATATATTCAAATTCATACTGATGCATCAAAAATAACTGAGAAACTAGGAATAGCATTTGTAGTACCAGAATTCAATATAAACGAATTACAGATGGATTATCAGTATACACAGGAGAAATGTTGGCAATATTATTAGCTTTACAATGGGTAGAAGACATAAAACCATTAAAAACAATAATATTTTCAGATTCAAGCTCTGCATTGTTAAATTTAAAAAATAACCAAACAGATAGTAGGATGGACATTTTATTAGAAATATATCATACACTGTTCAGAATACGAAACATGGGGCTGATAGTTACATTTGTGTGGGTTCCAGCACATATTGGGGTAGAAGGAAACGAGAGGGCAGATAAAATGGCAAAAAGGGCAATTAAACATTCTATTAGTTTTATAGTTAAAATAAGTAAATCAGAAGGAAAACGTATTATTAAAGAGAAACTTATGGAAATTTGGCAAAAAAGGTGGGATGAAGATAAAACAGGAAGATGGTTTTATAAAATTCAGAAGATGGTAGGAGAAAGAAGAAATGGAAGAAGAAATAGAAAGGATAGAGTGATAACAAGGTTAAGATTTGGTCATACAGGACTTAATTATACACTTTTTAAAATACAAAAAACATAAAACGGGCAAATGTGATTTCTGTGATAAATATGAAACCATAGAACATGTTATATTAGAATTTCATAAATATGAAAAAGAGAGAAGATATATGAGAAGAGAGTTTGAAGACATTAAGGAGAAGGTTAATTTATTAGATATACTGAGGAAAAATTTAGGGAGTAAACACATACAAATAATTATTCGATTTCTAAAGAAAACGAAATTATTCCATAGAATTTAATTATAGTAAGTGTGTTTGTGAGTGAAGGAATGATATACAAAGCTGTGCACAAATATATATATATATTTTTAAGTGTGAATGTATGTTTAAAAGAAGTTAGGGTAGAATGTATCAGGATAGATATTTAAACCGTCACGAACCACACTCCATACCAGTAAGTGGCGGTAATGCTACTAACAGTTTGTTGCCAACCCCCATAAAACTCGACAAGAAGAAGAAGAAGAAGAAGCGAGCCAATCGCGTGGCATAGGCGCGTGTTTGTGTCACCGCATATGAGCGCCGCTGATTGGCCAGTCGGAGCGGAGGGCGTGACACGGCGGCAGCGTGCATTCGCCTGTGTGACACAATTACAACAACTTAGAGCCGCTGCTTGGGGAAGTTTGAGAGCGTCTGAAAGTAGCCTGTCCCTCCGAGCCGACTTCACATCAGCGCCATGCTGGAACCGGAGCTGTGCCGCGCGCCCGCCTCTCTCCCACAATGAAGGCCGCGGAGGAGAAGGTGAAAGGAGCGTTTCCTTGAGGAATCGGAAGAATCGCGCTACGCCCCGTTTTAATCCTGGATCGGTGCGCGGTGGTTCCGCCCGGAGCCGCTCGGCCCCCCTCCCGGACTCTCCCCATGAAGTCTAGCGGGGTGTCGCCGGCGGCCGCTGCCCGGAGCCTCTGCGCTGCTGACGAGGAGAAAATGGCGTCTGGAAAAGCGACTGAAATCGAGGAGGACTTTCCGAAGCTAACGGCGCAGGAGGAGCAGAGCCTGGTCGGAGCTGACAGGTGAGGAGGAGAACCAGCGGCGCAGCCATGCCTCCTCCTCCTCCTCTGAATAACCGTGTCTGCTCTCCTCTGCTTGCAGTTCACTGTTTGGATTTCACGGGCTTCAAGAAGATGGCGCCAGAACGAAGGCCTTGCTGATGAAGGTATGCCGCTGTTCCTGCTCCCCCTCCTGGAAGCGGAGCTCAGACCTGCTCCTCATGGAGGGAGGGAGGGAGGGAGGGAGGGAGGGAGGGGAGCTGGCCTCCTCCTCCATCCAGCAGAGGGGGGGTGCATGCATGGCTCCAGCATGGAGCAGCGGTGGAGGCTCCAATATGTCCCCCATGGCTCCATCCCTCCGCCGGGAAATGATCCTCTGTTTACCGGCTGCTCCGCTCCGCCTCTGGGAGGGAGGTTCGGTTCCAGGTCCGCCGGGCAGTTCGGTCCGGAACCCACCGCCGGGCTGTGCGTCAGCTCCCTGGGTTAGCATGTAGCCGCTAACCGTCCAGCGGTTCGCGCCCGTTTGAACCGCAGCTTTGACACTTTGGCCATGATTTTAAAGTTCTTCACTTCCGGCTGCTGAGGAGCGCCTAGATAGCGAACAGGAAGAGATAGATTTAGAATCCAGAAATTCTGTGGATATAGAGCGGTATAGTTCTTCGTTGGGAGGGAGAGGAACCACGCGCTGAGTGGAACACAGCATCCTCAACGCTGGGCGCGTGCCCATCTGAAACTTTAACACACGTCATGCGCTCGTTCGATCCCTGCTTGCAGGTGGGGAGTACGGGGTCCAAAGGCACCACCCACGGCTCTCAGTCCCCACTGTGCTGACTCTTCTCTGGCATCAAAAATCCTCACAATAAAATGGTGGTTTAACAACTAGATGGGTTTTAAAACCCTATCCTACTGGCTGCTGGACTGAATGAAATTGTTTTAAATTGAGCTTAACAGAACAGAGCAAATAAACTCTTATCAATTCTTTATCCATTAAGCAATGGATCCCATTTTCCGTGGAGCGAAATCAATCATGATGATGCTTTCGTACCTGATTTAAATTAAATTGCTGTGAAATACAACAGAACCTCCTAAATGGAAATAAGGAATTGCCTTCTTCCTTCCAAAATATTATTCTGATATTGTTGACCATTATTGAATCTGAATTCCCCCATTTTTGTTAACAGAAATGAAATCCATACAATAGCGTCGGTGTGACAGTGAGAACCAATGCTTTTACTGACTTATTCAAAAACAGCATTTATGTTTGTACCATAAATTTAGCTGCAGCTGTGTGCAATGATTGTTTAAAACAATAAAAACACGCAGTTTTTGCCCGGCTTTGAATGGAGAATTTGCGTCAGTGCAGACTGGCTGTAAATTGTGGTGTAACGGTGAACTAGCAGTGGAGGAAACGCGTGCGTTCAAATCTCAGTTCCACCGGTTTATTGCAGCTTTGAGGAAAAACGTAACTAATTCCCAAAAGTTAGTCTTTGAAATACTTTAATCTGATCGCGTACATTTGAAAGGGGCAAGTGTTTGATTTAGTTACCCTGCACCACGGAGCTACAGCCTGGGGAATCAGTGTTACCATAGCAACAACTACTGGTGACCCAGAACTTTCCATGGGGTTCTGTCGGTGGAACGCTGGTGACCCAGAACTTGCTTTTAATCTTGGAACTAAACAGTTTATTGTTCTGTAGCTGAGAGGAAGCGGCTGGATCAGCTGATCAGGAAGGCCAGCTGTGATTGGATGCCCTCTGGACGGATCCTGAATGAACATCTCTGGTGGATATATGGAGCGATATTTGTGTCTTCGGTTTGAGGTGCAGGAACCAATCTGAGCGCGCAGTGAGACAACACATGCACGCTCAAAACCGGTCTGGCGCGCGCTCAACTGAAAAACTTCTCAACACACTGTCATGGCGCTCAGTTCCATCTCTGTTGCAGGTGGAGCGTGTACAGGACGGATCCAAGCACGCGCTCCACGTGCTCTCTGCAGTCAACACCAGCTGTGCGCTCGACTCTGTCTCTGCGCTTGCTAATTCCTAAATGTATGTAAACATGGTGGTTGGCAAACAACTGGATTGGGATTGAAACCGATGCATCCTACTGTCTGCTGACTGAATGATTGTTTTAATGAATATAAGCTGAACTAGAATCAGAGCAAATTAAACTTCTTAATGGAACAATTTCTTCAATCCATTTTAAGGCCAATATGATCACCAACATTTCTCCTTTGGAGGCTGAATTCCATCACTGATTCTTTTACCTGATTTAAAATTAAATTCTGTAAATAAAACGAAGCACCATTCCTAATATTGGAATATTTTGAAGCATGCCTAAAAATCTTACCATATCTAAAATATTTTTATCTAAATATTGTTGAACCATATTTGAATCTGAAATATCCTCCTAATTTGTCTGTCTAAACAGCAAAATGAAATCCATATCAATAGCAGGCAAAAGGAGATGGATGAGGTGATGATCTAATTGTTTTACTGACTTTTATTCAAGATAAATCAAGATATTTTATAGTACTATCTGCTGTCCATTAAATTGAATGCTGACCACAGAACTAAAAGAGTTGTTTGATTTCCTGATTGTGTTTATTTTTTTTCATTTAGCCTGATGTAGTATTTGGAACTAATACTTTGATTGGATGAAAAAAAGCGGGGCGTGATTGGCTGATTGGTTTATTTACATACTTTATGAATTCGCGAGCGCAGAGACGGAGTCAAGCACACAGCTGGTGTTGAGGGTGGAGAGAGCAGGTGAAGCGCGTGCAGGACGGATCCGAGCATGCGCAGAGATGGAACTGAGCGTGACCACAGTGTGTTGAGAAGAGTTTTTCGGTTTTGAGCGTGCAGGTGTTGTCTCACTGCGCGCTCACATTGGTTCCTGCGGTCAAACCGAAGAGACAAATATCGCTCCATATGGATAATGTCCCCCCCCCCCCCCATGCTGGTTCAGCAGGTGCTGAACTGGAGAGCTCCTTCAGTGACAGACTGCTGCACCTTAAATGCACCAGGGAGCGTTATCACAGATCCTTCCTCCCAGAAGCTGGAAGAATCTAGATCAGGGATCTGCAACCCAAACTGCGCAGAGCAATATTGGACCAAAAACACAAAAAATAAATCTGTCTGGAGCTGCAAAAATATAAAAGTGTTCTATGAGCCACGTCTGGCAACACAGGCTTTGTGTTTTATCCCACTATAGAGAAGGACTATATGGGCTTAAATATATAATAAGCATTAATGATTAAATGTTTATCCTGGTGCAAATGTCACAAAGCAGCTTCAGGTGAGGGAGGAGCAGTGAACGCTCTCACCGCATGCCGATTCACCACCATTCACAGAGCGGTTTAGTTTTTTTTTACATTGATGAAATTATAGAAACACAATAAAAAATTCTCTCTATGGTGGACGTGTTTCTGTTGGGAGGAGCTGATGGAGTCATGAGGAACCAAGCAGGAACTGACATCCATCAGAGCAGAGCTCTCTAACCCCTTGCTCACACTGGCTCCGGTGTGGTTACCGAGCCGACGGAGACCGCAACTCCCGCACACCCCCTCTCACACCGCCCTTTTGACTACGGTGCGGCTCTGCGGCTCCGGCAACAGGTCCGGAGATTTAACAAAAGTTCACTTGAGTTCACGTAACTTCATGCGATAACACGGCCCAAATAAGGATATTTGCGAGAGCTTGTTGCGGAGGGCTCCGGCACGCCGCAAGGATAGCTTTCTTGCGGAATTTTCTGCAGCGCCGGAGTGTCTCGGTAACCGCAGCCGGACAGCTCAGCAGCCGGTGAGAGAGGTTTACGTCTTTTTAATGACTTGGAATCACTGCGCCGCCGCACCCACCGCACTGCAACGGTAAGACCGGAGTCGGTGTGAGCCGGGGGTGACCCTGAAATCCCACATCCTCCGCCGTCAGCGCTTCTTGGTCTTTATTTTTAGGATTTGGGGAAAAAATGGAGGAAAGTTCCCATCAGAGCGCTACCTGTTTGATTTATGAACGGTTTTCCATTCTTGCATCAAAACTAGCAGCAGTATTAACTATTGTATTAACCACCGCTTTGTTAGCCTGGCGCCGCGCCGAGTTGGCTGCAAGTTATGACCACTGAGCTCTATGGCTATGGCGCACATTATTTTTAAAATTTATTTATTATACAAATGTTTACAGCATTGGAAAACATATTTAATTTTTGTTTGACCTCCTGCACACCATCTAAAAAAAAAAAAAAAAAATCGATTTTCATAAATTTTTGATAAAGCTCCAGGGGGACGCTAAGGAGCGGTGGGTTGCCGACCCCCGCTCTAGAACCACCACTGTTCCCAACAACCTCAACCAGTTCTACCATTCATGCTGATTCTGCTCAGTTTCTACCTCAGTCAGTTAAATAAACTGCTGCTGTCATTCTGCCCGTCTCTGATGTTGCTGCTATTTTCAAATATCCATTTGAAGTAAATCGACCCCCATTAAATTGACCCCCACCAAGGGAGGAGGAGAGACAGCCTCGATGAAGTCCCCCAGCCACCGCAATGCCGGAGCTGCGGGGACGAGTCCGCAGGCTCTGTCGGCAGCCACCCCGGCTCTGCCGGCGCCCCACCTCCCCGGCAGGAGCCCCAGCCGCACCCTGGCCGGGCCCCGCGGAGAAGCCGCCAGGAATGCCCTGTAGCCGCCCGGGCATCCACCCCCAAACCCCGAGCTCGAGCAGTGCACAGGCGCGAGCCCAGGGGGCAGCCAGCACAGGGAGAGCAGGACGGAGGAATGGGCTCCGCACTTGGAGACTTGAGATGTGCTTGGGAGAGGGGGCAGTTCAGACCCCACCCTGGGGGAGAGAGAAACAAAAAACAGTCTCAATCACGCCTTCCTATGGAAGCCCCCACTCACACCACACAGGGGGAAAAAATGTGGACGCACATTGACACATAACACTCACATCCAATAATCCCAGGACCAAAGACCCGGCTGCACCGGTGGTCGGTCCCGGGATTATCGATCCGGAATGGGGGGTGACACCACCACATCAACCCATCTTGTTCCTGCTTCAAGCCCGGCCCCTCCACCCCATTCCCGGACCAGACTACATCCAGCAAAAGCTCCCCCAGGACCAGGGCCCACATGCCCCGTGCAGGCCACCCAACCAGAGCCCCCCCCTAACTAATTCA